TCGTGGGATGAATGGAAGGCGGTACCATTGCCAGCAATGGCCTGCCAAAAGTGCGGCGAGATTGATGCTTTTCATGATTGAAACGGAGTCGCGACAATGCTTAACACAATTTCAATGCTGTTGCTCCTATATCTACGGACTCCAGCACTGGCAGCAATGGGATTGCCTTTAAATTACATAGCGACTGCCTATAAACCTCGATAATGCGCCGACGGCGATGCATCTCAGATTTCGGCACATCAGCACTCATCTCCGCTCATATCTCGTCGACGGGTTTCAGAGCTGTACTTGTTACATCTCAACACGGAATCGCCATGCCTTCACCATCGTGTCTTCATCGTCGACGAATACTCACTCGCTTACGGGTGCGAACACTTTGCTTTTGCTTCTACAATTTGAGGGGCCCTACAGCCGATGACTACTTCTTGTCTACCTTAGCTCCGACGCCAGGTGTCATACACGCGGGCGCGATGCCTTCCATGCTACTATTTGTGCCTTGTATTCAGGTCTCTTTGCTCCCTTGGACGCCTCAGATAGCGACGCGACCGATTTTAGCCATTGGCTCATGTAGTGGCGACGTTGGCAACTAAGGGAGGCCCTGTACTAGTTTAAATGTTTCACTTCGGGGCCTTTTTCTACGGCGGGAGACACCACATTTGTTAGGAATTCCCACACACAGAGTTCCCGCTTGCACCTAATGCTCAGAATTTCCATCGGCTGCTTTCAAGTTACAAAGTCGCCAGAAGCTAAATAGGGTTGCCTTTGCCCCTTGTCTCTATTTGATCCGAGCCCCCTCCCCCCAACCCAACTCGAACCAAACCAAACCCAAACCAAACACGCACCAAGCTGAAACATAAACCAAACCCAAACCAGACCGAAACCAAACCAAACCAAACCCAAACCCAAACCCAAACCCAAACCCAAACCCAAACCGGGAAGAAACCCGAAGCAGGCTCAGGCCAAACCGAACCCAGACCCGGGCCAAGCTTAGACGCTGGCCGGACTTATTCCAACCAAACCCAGGCAAAACGTAGACCAAACCCACACCGGGCCCAGCTCGCCAGGCCTCGGCCCAGGCGCTTGCCTAAACCAAACCCAAACGCAAACCGACCAAAGCCGACGGGAGCCGGCCCGACCTCAAACCAAACAGACGCGCCCAAAGCACGCCCGGAGCTCGAAGCAAGGCCGAAGCCCGCAGCATGCTCGAAACCCGGGCCAGGCCTGCCGCTTGCGCTGGGTCTGGGGCCGGAGCCGGGCAGGCTGCGACGCGCTGCGCGTGCGTCTTCTCGGCTCTTCCCTCTTCTTTTCCTTGGGTTTTCTGAACCGCAGGGAGCCCGCGGCCAGCAGCCACCGCAGCGCGCCCTCGAATCCCGAGGAGCGAGAACGAAGCGGGGAGAAGGACAAGAGAGGCAAGGGGAGGGACCTGGGCGGGGCATGGTATGGCGGTGGGTGCTGCGGCTTTGGCTGCGCGTGGTCCTTCAATGCTGACACGGGCAACGCGGTCCCGCCTGCGTTGCCTTTGTCTTCCCTTCTGTTCCCCGCTCGTTTCCCTCTCTTCCAGGTGATTCGAGGGCGCGCTGCGGTGGCTGGTGGCGGGCTGCACTGCGTGCGCAGTGTGTCCGCCCCGGTCTTCTTCGTGCTTGGTTCGCTCCCGAGATTCGAGGGCGCCGCGCGGTGGCTGGCGGTGGGTGCTGAGGCGAGTTCAGTGCGCTGCCCGTCTCTGTCTTTCAGGACGCTCCAGCGGGGCCTAGACTGCTTCAAGCCCAGAAGCCCGCCCGGGGCCGGGGAGCTCTGGCGACTAGAATCGCCACGCGGCTGGGGCCGGTTTTGGTTTCGTTAATCGGGGGGGGGGATGGTCTCTCTCCTCAGCGAAATGAAGCCGCTGAGGGTCTTGCCGGGGAGGGGTCGAAGTTGTCCAAATGTGACCCATCTGGGGCTTGTCCGTCTGTCATTTTGGAGACACTTCGAGACGGCTCCAAACTTCCGCCAGAACAGAGAGAAAACCAGAACGGGCGCGGGACTCCTTCAGGACCGCGGGCCCCTCTGGAGTCGCCCCGACACATTTGCGGCAGCCCGGTCGGGGCTCATGGGTGAGCCTTCTACAAGCTCCTCGGCGAGCCCCTGGGGGGCGGTGCGCGGTTTTCCTTATGCAGGGCCAGAATTTTAAACGCCGGGCAAGGGCACCCGGGGAGTGTATCTCCCAGCCAGGCTGCTCCTTACTTTCTAAAAAATAAAAACAGCGGCCCCTTTCTATTTTTTTAGAAGTATGAGGCTGATCAGCTGGAAAATTCATACTTCGAGGCGTGGCGTGATCAGCCGCCTTGAATCATTGGAGACGGCTGGGTGGCTGATGCAAAAAGCTGCACTTTTTAACAAATTGCGAAGCGGTCGAATTTCTCGGACAAGTGCATCAAAGTAAAGCCTCCGCGTTGTCATCAAACGAGCACCGAACCCACCCGGCACGGTAATTAAAAACAACAAGCAAACAGCTCCCAACTTCAAAAAAGCAAAGAGCAGCAAACGAAGCCGGCTGGGATAAGACAGCGGCCTAAGACTGCTGCCCGGTCCTATTCCTCGCGGAACCTAGTGGGCGCAGGATAATTTATCAGCTGGCAACAGTTCCCGCGGGGCCGCTTTGCAAAGGTTTCGAGCTTGTGAAAACTGTCCAGGAAAAGTCTAGCGATTCGGCAGGGCTCAACTCTCGAGGAGTTGCTGCCTCGTCTTTTCAAGGCTACAAAAAAAGTTTAGGCGCTCACAGGCTCTCACCTTTGAGCTTTAAAAAAAATAAAACAGTTCCCTTTTGTTGATCTTTCAGGAGATGAAAAGGCAAAACGGGTGTCCCCATTGGCGGGCCTCTTGTCTTGTCTTGTTTCCATTTTCTTGCTGGAGTGGATGGCAAACGGGGTCGAAATCTTTAAGGGGACTCCTCGCGCTTTTTACTTGGTCACCACTGAAACAGGCTCCAGCGTCTGCCGATTTCAAGCTGAAAAGTGGGCCAGAAGTTGCGGAATCTTGCGGGCATTTTCTTGGGCACCAGTAGCAAAAAAGTTAAAACCCTGGGAGCCCAAGTTGGAAAATGGTCCGGAAGTTGCTAGCCGGTGCCTGCTTTGTTCCAGCTGCCGCCAGGAGAGACCAACGGGGCCAGGCTGATAGATGTGCACGGGTGCGACGCTTTTGGGCAGCCAAAGGCGACCCACTTAAGCCAGACCCAAACCAAAGAAACCCAACGAGGCCCAAACCGTGACCAAGCTGAAGCCAAGGCAAACGCCGGCAAGGCTGGAAATAAAGGCGGAGGAAACTGAAACCAACCGCAAACCAAACTACAGCCAGCCTTGGCCCCCTGTGGGGTCTCCACTGGTCTCCCGGCAGCCAGTGGCCCCCCGGTTGCCTTTGCAGGGAAACCACGAGGGACCCAGCGGGAGGCATAGGCGGGAGGGCCGGAAAAGCTGGCGGGGATGGGACACAACCTGCTCCCCGGGTTTCCTGTGGGCGATCTCGACCCCCACCACGACCCCCCCGCCCCTACAAATGGGGCCGCAGTTTGGCTGCAGGGAGACACGAGGGGACCCCGCAGGAGGCCCCTGAGATACCGCGCCGCCCTTTGCAGGGGCCGAAGGGTCGGGGGTCTATTAGGTTTTGAAAACAGCCCCCGTCGGTTCTCCCGTAGGCCGCTATAGCGGGTAACGCAGCCCCTGCGGAGGCTGCCCGGGGTCCCGCGGCGCCCCCGAGGAGTTACCGCCCTTGCCCTACCGGGAACTCTACCGAAGAGAGGCCCGCGAGGATCCGCGGCTCTAGCTGTAAGACTGCCGCGCCAAGCCACGCTGCCAGTCTTTTCCCCGAAAAGGGATGGCCCTTGTGGGAAGCACCCTCAGAAAAGCGGGGGGCAAGACGGTCGCTGAGCAGAGGGCCACGGGCCCGCGCCCGTAAGCTTGGCGTAAGGCCTCCGCGGACTTGTTTGGGTGGAGACGCCAAAGGGCGCTTCTCTGGCAATACCGTGCGGCCCTCTGCCAATTCCGATCAAAATGCGCCGGCCTTTCTCCCCGTGGGCCGCCAAAGAGGGCAGCGCAGCCCCGACTGCCTTCCCCTGCCAAGCGCGCGCCCGGCGTAGCGGCCTGCCTGTCTCGTCTTCGCACTACCGAGCGGCGCAGGGCGCGCGAGGATCCCCTGGGCCGGCGCCCTTCGGCGCCTTCGCCGAAACACGGTTGCCCGCGGGGGCGGTGTGGCAGACGGGTTCTCGGGGGCGGCCTGCGCCGCCGTTTTTATGCCAATCCCGGCGAGGTTGCAAGCGGGAAAATCGGTCCCCGCTAGTTTTCCCGTAGGCCACTAAAGGAAGCGAGGCTTCCCGGACCCCGCGCCGGGGGGGGGTCCGCTAAGGGCGACAGGGGCCACTGTATAGGAACAGGCCCGCGGGGAACCTCGCGGGGGCCTCGATCCCTTGAAAGCTCCGGGTAGCGTGCCTCCCTCGCTGCGCCGGCGCAGCTGGAGCGCCACTAGGCTCCCCCCCCTTTTGCTGCCCTCTCCCACCCGTGCGACCCCTATCACGATAAGCCGAGCAGCCGAAGTGTAGCCGACGCTGCCTGGTCGTCGGTCGGGGATCCCGCGAGTACTCAGTCAAGAAGCCGACACGCGGCCCCCGCTTTCGGGCCCATTGCTGGCAATGCCCCGCCCTGCAACCCGGTGCGCCGACGCGTCGCTATTGGTGTTGCGCTCTTCGGTCGGGGACTTCACATTTTGCACGCGGCGGGCCGTACCGCTGAGAAAGCCAAGACGAAAACCGGGGCAGCGGCTTCCGGCTTGGAGCATCAGGCCACCGGCCCGCACCTGAACGACGCTGCCGAGGCCCTTCTTTTCCCTGCCTCTTTTCACGGCAGCAGCCGCCGCAACCGCAGACTAGAAAGTACCAGCTTCTTTCCCCGCAGGCCGCTAGAGCGGCCTTTGTCGCCCCTGCCCTCCGGTCCCCCTCTGAAGTGCGTAGCGAATATGCTGTAGCATTTCTAGATGTTTTCTGAAGGTCCACCGCGGCAGACGCCCTCATAGCTTTGGCGCGCTCACCTAGTCTGCAAAAAAATGGCAAACCTTCTGCGGCATTTCGATCCCTGCGATTTGCCGAACAGCGCAGAGAGTGCCGCGAGGCTGAGGGAGCTAGCTTTCCTGCTGGCCGAAGAATGGGATGACGTGCTACAAAAAGTGGAAAAGCAAGGCTTGGCTTCCTGGAAGCCGAGGGATAGCGATGGGACACGGATGCCCTTAGAAATTATGGGAACCCTGATAAACTTCTTTTTTGAATAATGGGAACAAGACCTCTGCGGAGCTGGACTGTCACGCATTATGTGCCAGCAGTGAGTGCTTGTAGCTCTTCAAGGTGTCACTTTCACTCTTCATGAAAAATTGTTATTTGCGGGGCCTCTGAAAAGAAAAGGATCATAAATTTGATCATGCGTATTTGGGAAATGAATCATATGTATTGCTACGAGCCGCGCTAACAAAAGTGTGGAGAGGAAGCATCTTTACCGATTGGTGGAATCGCAATTGATCCAGCTTAGCCGTGCGAACGAGATCATCCTTGGGCGAAGCATGCACCATGAGAATCATCCAAATTACAGCATTATGAAACGAAAGCACCCCATCACCCCTATCCTGCACTTCCCGCGATCTTCGGACGGAAAGCGGGAAAAATGGCATGGAGATAAAATTAATTGTTTTGTTGAGAAAACGTACGCCATGAAGTCTTCTTTCACTACTGCATTTGTTGTTACAAAGCTCTTTTTTGTTTTTAGTTTGTTAGGTGCGCCCGCGAACTCAGGTCTCAAAAGTACTAGGTATGGGAAAAGTGATGATGGCGATAGTGTTGGCTTCATACGTATGGATGGAATTATATTGGCATCTCGATGGAGCCGGGGAAAAAACGCAAAGGCGATTCCGATGATACTTCGCAACGACCGGCTGGCGTCCTGCTTTCTGTACAGCTTGATGCAGTTCGTGGCCGTGGAACGTTCGGGCCGGCGCCTGCTTTGGGCGAGAGAGGCTGACGGAAACAGGTACGCCGACTCTTTCCTCTACCAGCGCTTGTACGATTTTTGTCTCGGTCCGCCTCGGAACCAGACGGGGTATAAGCGGCAAAAGCGCGATCTTGCCGAAGGATGGGACATGCTTATGCAAAGAAAACGCGTTGCTGTGCTAATACTCTACAAGCTGTAAATCTAACAATCTTTCGTTTGTCATTGCTCCAAAGATAAGATATTAAACAGTTCGCCTCCTCCTGCAGCGTTCCCACGTTATCCTGCTGCTGTCTCGGTCTGATTATTTGGGTAAAAAGAGTCTCATATTTATTTCTTGAATTTCTAAGGACTACATGCTCCTTTGATTACTTAAAATGAGTAATGGGAATTTTCCTTTCATAATGCAGAGACACCTCTGGTCGCTGGGTATTCATATTCAGGCCCTAGAGTCCGTGTGCGAAACGAAAAAAGATTTTGTATCTCTATTCCAGGGAGACTGGCGTGAGCTCATGCGTCTGCACATGTCAAGCGCAACAACAGAATTGGAGGATAAAGTACTCTACAACGTGTGACTTAAACACTCCTCAATGAGTGCAGCATTCTTTTCATCAGCAACAGCACGTGGGCCATGCCTCTAGCTGACGTTTAGAGTTCTTTCTGAGTCCTCTGCACGAGGACACGTCGTGGCTACTATTGCTTTCACAAACTTCTACAAAACGAACTGGTTTTAGTTGATGCTGTGATAAAAGAAAAAGTTTTTATTGACTCACGCTTAAGTGCCTTTGTGACTTCTACTAAAAAAAGGTGTTTATCCACGCACGCTTCGAGGACGTAGAGACACTGCACTGGAATGAAGAGAGCGTCGCGTGCCAATTTGACGAGACGGCTGACTTCATCAATTATTACGGGTTCAACAACATGCTAAGGCCGTTTAACAAAGAAAAAGTTTACGATGAAAAGTCTGGAATATTTCGCTGGTCCGATGAGAACCCATCATGGGGTCAATTACCTACTACGCGATCCATGCTACAAAAGCAAGTCGATCACGCTCGGCGAAATTTTCCGGATGCTTCGGAAATTGTGATCATCTTCAACCGCAGCAATATGCCCGGAGACCATTGGTTTATGGCTCCACAGGAACTTCTTTGGCTATAGACTTCCCTAACGCGTCCTCCTGGACTATAATCATTTTCCAAGAAGATGTGAAAATGATGCTACTAGTGGCTCTAATTGCATATATGAGCACGTGAAGGGTGAAGCAAATACAACTTCTGGGCGGGGTAGTGGAGATAACAGAGTTCCAGTTTGCTTTATCGAGGACATCGACGAAGGCGAGGAGTGGCACTCCGAATTTGACGAAGATGGTGATACTATGCCAGGAGAGAGCGTACTCATACTCAATAACAGAGGCTGCTTCCTACTTAGAAAGTGCCTACTTTCTTGAGGATGAGTACACTTTTTCCTTTGATAGATGTCTGGAGAATGATGCATGGAAAAGCCTTGTATCTTTCACATAGTTACTTTGGGTTTGCCGCAGCGCTATTTTTAAGGTTTCTGCAGAGGCACCCTCAGCATGATCCTTGGCTCTTTGTCTACTTGAAAAAGAAGAACCCAAGGATATAAATCTCAGGGAGGATGCGAACGCGATGGCTTTAATGCTACGAAACGATCAAAATGTATACTATCCGAAAAACGCGATGTTTGCGGCTTTTGGTCTCGGTGCTCCCGCTTTTGACAAATCGGGATGGAAGGTTTTAGAGTTGTAGCTAGAGAAGAATTCTGGAGTTCGAGTTTGTTTGTAGAGGAATCAATGTAGTACATTCGATAGGATAAGTATATTCATAAGCAGTAACATTAAGCGCATTAACCAACGTCGAAAATCAACCTTGAATTTTGACAATTTTGTGTTGCATAGCCGTCAAGTTTGACGCGGTATTCACGCAGCCTCTCTGCTTAAACATAACTACCTCTGTTGGTTGGATACTACTCGTAAATAAAAACGTTTGCTACATCAACAATGTGACGCATGGCTGGTAGTCCAAATTTGCAGCTGTGATGTGAATGCTACTCCGCTTCTATCAAGCTTTCGGCACCTCAACACAGTGTACTGAGATCGGGGTAAAATTTTTCATGAAGAGTCGAACCGGAGAGGAAGCTTCGAGAGATCGTTTACAAGTACCATGTGGCATTTCTTGTAACACGAATGCTTTTACGCGACTTTCACCTACCTTACAAAGATATGTCAGCTGCGCGAAATAAGCTACATTTGTCCGTGGTATAATATTTTTTTTCGTTTTTGCAAACGGAAGTAGTAGTGTAGTAGATTGACATACCTCTAGAGTGGGTACATTCGTTCACTCCCTCACTCGTACGTAATACAAATATTGAAAAAAACAATGTGAATAGTCCTGAAAAAAACTCCAAGGGCAAGAGAACATCAACGCTATTTGTACTAAGCTTTCAAGGCAAAAATAAAAGCGAAGAAGATGAGCATGATGCACCATCTTGTGCGTGGTTCACCGCCATCGCTGGCAAGTGCGTCTCGACGTGGTGGGGTTCGTTTGATTAGTTTTACCCTTACACCAATGACGAAGAGCTTCAGTACTTCGTCTTCTTTCGCTCCAGCAGTTGACACGAGAAATACAACAACAGCACCAGTAGGGGCTACAGCTTCATCTTCGAGCACAAGTGGGGGTTTTTACGGCTCTTTAAATATAGGTACTACAAGAGGAAAAGCACCTTTTTAATGTGATTGGTTCCCTAGGTATAAGTAGCAGTGGGGGAGCAAGATCCCACTTCAAGCATGTGAGGAATCTTGAAACAACATTTGTTGCCTTTCTTGTGCTGCTCCTTTTTATTTAATTCAATTAATATACATAGGAGCGCTCCTTATCTAAGGATTAATATAGCAGCCCTAAGTTTATTTACAAGAGTCCTCTGGTACTATCGGGAACTTGCCCGAGCCAAGGTCTTATCGGCGTGTCCCGACCGCATTACCCAGGATGGACCCGCCAGAGGAGCTGTATCGGGAACGAAATCGGCTGCCGGGTGATCTAGCGATTTTTGAGGGCGGACTAAGAAGACAACAACCGTGGGAAAAAGATGCCAGATGGCAACATCACAAGGTGCTACTCTTTGCTACTCTTTTATTTGGTAGGGTGGATAGTGGCAACAACATCTTGACAAGGTAGTTTCTCTCCTGCTACGCGTAATGGTTTATGAAGTTCGGCGTGATGTTCTTGTACTCAACACATCACTCAATAAAGAATCTCTGCGGGAGGATCAAATCTAATATAGAGATGAAAAACAAAAACAGACCATGCATCAAGGTGCGGATGCACCGCTCAAGGACAAAGCTTTGAGAAGAGGATGGATGCTTAAGGGTGAAGGACAGGCATCTCCAAATGAGTCATCTGGAACAAGAAGTGTCAATACACAGGTCCCGAATATAAATGGGTACAAGGGACCACTAGGATCAAGATAAACCAGTCTCCTCCAAAAAAGCACCCTCCAGATGACCCATCTAAGATGCAGCATTTTCTACCCCTGCTCCTCTAAGATGCAGAATATTACGGTGAAACACAAGAACGGAAAAGTGACGAAGCGGCCACCTTTCTGGTCACTTATCAAAGACCCCACAAAAGACCCTGGGCAAGTTGTTGTTGTCCTTCTCATGTTCGGGATTACAAGTACTATGGATGATTAGATGGAGGGTTAGTATTGGTAGTTGTTTGGTCTGTGTGATTGGTGTTGTGGTCGTCGTGGATTGCTTGTTTATAGTACGGGAGGTACTTCTGCTTCTCAGAACCGCTTAGTTTTCCCTCATAAGTACTAGACTAGTCCCTCCGAACAATATACTTCACAGAACAACCTGATACAAAACAACGAACTTTGTTCATCCTTAGTTAGAACAGGAATAGACTCCACTTTGCAAATGAATGCAGTTCACGGGTGCTGTTCGCTTCCATATGGCGAACATTACTGGGTCCGCAGACGAAAGGCACTACGGGAACGAATTTTATGAATTCAAAGATTGGGTGTCGATAGTACTTGCTTTCTTTTGACAATCTCCAGACATGTTCCTCTTCGTTCTAGAATAAAGTGGGTTCGTTCTAGTATAAAGTCGTGCTCGCGTATCTTCCAACTACCCCTCGTTCTCTAGCGCATACCACAATATTTCTTTCAACATCAAATTCCGTATTTGCTCCATCTGGTCCATAATCTACAGGGAAACAACTTCTAATCTCTCGTATAGAATATGACCTGCCTGTTGGATGGGAGGAGGAGTTCGACTTGCAGTCGGACATCACCGACGACGATTTGTTTGTCCGCGGATGGGAAGAAGACAAGACCTTTCGAGTTTTACCTGCTTTCATATTACGGCCATGAGTTTTAGTTTTCTTCGTTTGATGTTCTGTTTCTGTTCTGTAGCTGTAGTGGCTCTTGAAACATGTGCATGTTGCTAGGTCAGATTTCATTCCTATCAACCGCGTAGTCACTCTTAAAGCAGATACACATGAAGAATACAAACCGTAGCTGGAAGACATCACAGTGCAGCTTTCCCTCGATATTATATATAATTCCTCTCTACATTGAACTCGAACCGCAACAATACCAGCAACGAACACCTAGCACCCTCACACCTAGTCTTTAGTACTAGCAGCTCTCCTCTAATCTTCGGAGATCCGATTATGCAGTTCCGGAAATGGCTTATACGATTCGTCTTTTTCGGGGAGGAGGGAAGGGATCCAAACAAAGGACCCAAACAAGTCGTGCTGCGAGAAGGAGAATATGATCCGGGACGGTGAAATTTTTGTAGTCGTGCTACGAGAAGGGGAATATGATACCCGAGTACTAAGACCAACAGTATTCATGAACGCACATGCAGGGCATGATGCCGCAACATTATATACGAGGAGGGAATTCAACATCATCAATAGCACCACAGAAAGGAATTCATAGAAACTAAAATCCCGAGCTTACGCTCGGTTTTTCATATGTCGAGTAACAACTTGCTATCTTGCGTCGCATGTTGAGTAACACATACTACTTTGCCTTTCCCGCGAAACGTAGTAAAAGAGCGACGATTATTCTTGTTCGCTCGGTTTTTGGAATCGTCGCTCTTCTACTACGTTTCGGCTACACAGCAGTTTTGGAATCTATCGCGAACCCCCAAGTGTTTTGGAATCTAGTTCCTCGCGAACCCCCAAGTGTTCGAGATTGAAGTCAGTCGTGTTCGAGATTGAAGTATTTTGTTCGCTCGGCTACACAGGAGCAGTTTCGGAATCTATTTTTTTGCGGCTCCTTCGTCGAGTCGTTCGAACACAGGATCATTCGACTGTCGTTGAGCAGAACTCGCTAGGCAGCTTCATAACAATTTTTGAATGTGAAGAAATGAGTTTGTTCAACTTGAGGATGATATTATCAGGTACGCCGTACTTGATTGTCTTTGCTACCCTCCTCGCCCTGTGATTGCTCCCCAAGAACCAGTATTCGAATGCACCACGACATGATGAATTTTCTAATTACCCATGAATGCAACGCGTTAGGTAGTTAGGACTAAACACGCATGAACGTGGGACTTCCACTCTTAGACTAGGTGAAATTTAGTCACAACAAATAAGATTATGAGTCCAAAAATAACCTCCTTGAGGTATTTCTTATCGTTAATGTAGTTACTGATAGTTGCAACTGACATTCCAACTTTACGCCTCTGCATTATCAAGTAACTAGGACTATATAGGTCTACAATAATTCGTCCCTGTGATAACCCTTTTACGAAGAGGATGGCGCCGAAATTGTCTCCTGGGGCTTCGCAGAAAGGCCGCGCTTCTCTGTTGATGTCTGAAGAAAGCTCCGCTCGAAAAAGAGGGCGCAGTAGTACTAGTTCTGCAAAAGTTCGTGGGGGGTCATTGATGAAGAAACAAGCTGTTCGCAGTGGCGAAGAAGAACAACCTCCAGAAAAAAATACTTCATCTACTAGCACGGCAAGTGGGAGCAGAAGATCAAGAGGTGAGAGCTTGCAGAAGATGGCTCCTGCAAGTGAAAGCCAAAGCGGAATGAACAAGATGAACCACATGAAGTCTCGGTCCTCTTCGAGCAAGCGGAATCAGGTGGAGAAAGGAGACGAAAAAAGAAAAACAAGGAGTCGCAGTCGTGGTAGTGCTGCTGCTGCCGCCGCTATTCCAGAGATAGGGGCAAGAGGTAGGAATCGCGGCAGTGCGCCTCTGCTGGCCGCAGAAACGACAACAAGAAAAAGAAGCCAGAGCATTTCCTATACCCCTGTTATGAAGATGGGCGTAAAAACGCGAAGTCAGACTCGTGCTCTTTCTATGAAAGCAGAGGCTTCGCGAGGTAGAAAAAGTTTGAGCCCTGGTGCGGCTGTAGCAGAAGAAGGAGGGACAGCCAGAAGTCGGAGTCGTGGTGCACCAGTCCTTGATGTTGCCGCTGAAACATCCACTTCTGTCTCACAACCTAGCAGGAAATTACGTAAATTATCGTTAGAAGAATGTACTAGTCCACCCAAAAAGAGGAACAAAGAGAACAAATTTTCCTCGACGAGATCTTCAGCATTGAAAGGACCAAGGAGGCGGTCAAGCCCTCCCAAGAAACAACAGGGGAACCTAAAGACGCATGCGGAGGTGGATCGAGCCGACGAGGATGATCATAGAAGAGACCTTCTAGTTCCAGAACCAAAAAGGAGTGCTGGTAAAAATGACAAAAAAAGTATTGCTTCGCAGGCGCACATGAGGACAGGCGAGAAGGCCGAAGACAATAATGAAAGGGTTGCACTACATGAAGATGACAGCAGTGATGGCGGGGACGGAGACACAAGAAATGGTCTGCTTACTGTACTAGAGGTCAAAACTACATCTTCGAAGAGTGGTAGAGTAGACCGAACTGCTCTTGATCCTTCCTGTCCGGCGTGCCAGAATCCTATCAAAAAGGTTAAGCATACATGTGCGAGAGCAAGAAGTGCCAAAAGTAAGTCGCCAGTCATGCCAAGGATAAATATGAGATCAAATTCTAAGAGAGGTAGTGCTCAGCAATATGCATGGCAGGAGAGCCATAGTACGCATATTACAACGTCAGCAAGTACTACTAGACCACATCAAGCGAATCATACTACAGCTTCAGCAAGTAGACCACATCTTCAAGCGCAGCGGCGAAGACAAACTCCTGATGTAGTTGTTTCTCTTGTCGACCACAACGTTGAGGGGGAGGAAAATGACATTGTCAAAAAAGATGTCACAAACAATAATGGAAATGAGAAGCACGACTCTCAACAACAGGAACAGCAGGGAGAGCACCAAACTGTACTAGAATTAAGGGTTGGGAGTTGACCTACCATCTAAGAGCATCTCTATGGCTTCTTCCAGTAGGAAAGCTATAGATATGCGACCTACTAGAGGGGGGCCAACTTTCAACTCCTAATAGAAGTAGTGGACCTGAAGTCGCTAGATTGCGAGGCTCTCGTCGATGCGCGACAATTAGAATACACGAGGCGTCGGCTTGCGGCACAACTGAATCTTCTGCCGGGAGCGTCACAGCATATTTCAGATTAAGGCCAACTGAGTCACTATCCTATACAACCAATGTTTGCTAGTCCTATTATATATACCTCTTCCTTTTGTCTATCTTTTCTAGGTAGGTCGGCTCCACCACAGACATTGATACTACAACCGGTTAGTTTTCACCTCTATCCTTAGGCTTATCCCTTCGAACAATTATCGAACTAACTACAACAACTTTTGTTGTACTGCTCCTGTGTGGACCGAGGACTCAGGAACTACAAATATTCAATTTAATTCTCTAGGAAGACCTTTTTTTCATCGATCTTCATTAATGAGCATAAATGGTCCTTTTCACATCTTCAATGAGCTCACCTACGTATCTTAGATAAATACCTCGCTCTAATCCAGCCAGATCAGTAAGTGCAAAGCGCAGTACAAGCCCAGTAGCATGTCTTCTTGCTCAAAGCGAGGGCCACTAGAGCAAATTAGTCGTCTTGGCGGCTCGCCCTCACTGACGCTGCAGAGCGTGAACAACACTGCGCTTCTTGAACATCTAGAGGATGTGAATAACATCAACAACAACAATTTAATTGGTGAGAACAACAACATCAACAACCTGATACATTTACAGCCGGGAAGACGTATGACCAGGAAACGGGCAGCCGAAGCACTTGCGAGTTTGAGTTCTAGTGCGTCCCCTTCGCCGTCGAAGAATTCTGCAGTACAATCTAGAAGGAATTCTCTTGGAGATGGAGGCTTTGAGGACAATGAAGATGGTACACTTTGTCTTGCTGCTAGGGGTGCGGATGTACTAGCAGGAGATCAGCTACAGCAGGTGGTACAGATAGGCTACCTCACTGAATCCATCTTTTAGCCCATCTGTGAGCGGCTGTTTTCACAAGTAGAAAATAGCGGAGGCAGATGAGGGAAAAGATGCTGAATTCTTGCAGTGCTGTCGAGTTCTAATACGTCAAGATCTACTGCTGGACAACTCGGTGAACAACAGGAGCTGCTTGGAGAATTCTGGCAGGATAGATTTTTCCAAGCTGAAGCGAGGACGCCGTCGCGAGGTGAACGCAAATGGTGGTAAGAGAAGAACGAACATAGATGCATTTACGAACGGCAAAGTACTAGTGCGAGCACTAGGCGAGCCTGGAAGGAGGAGAGGATCATCTTCCTCCCCAAACAAGATGAAGACAGCAAAGAAACAGCGAATATTTGACCAAAAGCAAGCGCTGGTGTTAGAAAAGCAGGAGAAGTGTTTTGTTCGCCAACGTTTAGATTGGACTAGGAAACGACGCGCAGCACAGTTGGCGCAGAAGGAGAATGACGATATTTGTTTTCAATGTAAGAAAGCTACAGAGAAAAAGGGTGCATTCTTGCTCTGTTGCGATGGCGACGGGTGCACCAAAAGTTTTCATCTTTTAAGAACGGGAGAATCGTTTGTAATTGTTGGTAAGCCGGAGGTGTCGATGTAGTAAGTAATCAATGTTGTTAATTCCTTGATTGGAACAAAGAAATTTCAAAAAAGAATCTAAGGAAATTCTTCGTAATTATAGATGCATCCATCCACGAACAAGAATTCATTTCTACGACGTCCTCCTCCTGACTCTAATCTTCGCCTGCGTTGGGCGCAGTGTCCGACCTCTTGAGACAGAGTGGCTTTGTCCCTACTGCGGAGGGCCTGATCAGCTAGTAAAGGTCGACAAACGCAAACACATGAGGAGGGAACTAGACATTCAGAATGACGGAAGCTTTCAACTGCAGTTGGAGAAGCTGATACATCACTGCGAAACGTGCACGAAGGGGAGCTTAGTTATGCTCCAAGAAAGTCAAAACAGAAGGGAAATCAGTCAAGAAAATAATTAAAGACCTTCATGGAAGGCATTGCAAACACCTCCTGCTAGGCACATTCACTCACTCAATCGTATAATCTATTCGCTGCCATGGTGGATCTTTTCCGGGTCCTTCTTTGGCTCGGGTTTGCCATATTTCCCTCCTCTTCCCTTGTTCCTTGCTTACTCTTTCGCTCCCCTTTGTGTCTTGGTCTTTACAGTTCCTTCGCCTTGCCTCTTCTTGAATACAACTACTACTACTAGATCTCATACTAATCTTTCTGTTCCTCTTAGTTCGCTGCCATGGCCAACATTGGTATTTGTTGAGAAGAGAGTTGTAGTTCATACGAAGATAGTACTTCGGTCTCTGTCGTCAGAGGACGACGAATATTTGTATCAAAACGCTCTAATCTGAAAGTCGTCAGAAATATTTTTCCGATTAACTTCGCGCCACGGTCATGGACAACTTTCTTCAGCAGGTCTGGTCAGCAATCCTTAGCAGATTCGTCTGGAGTTGGTGAAGGAAGGACCACAGTAGTAGCAGCGGCTTCTACTTCATCCTCTACGAATTTCATGGAGGAGGGTGGACTCCCTCTGGGTGGCCTGACGCTGGGAAACTTTGGAGGTGGTGGTGCTTTCACAACTGCAGGAGGTTTTAGTACGCTTGGCGCTTTGACTCAGGGAGGTGAGCTAGATTTAGGTGGTGGCGAGGAATCCGATGCTGATGCTAGTGGTAGTGATGTCGAGGGCAATCATAATTCGAGTAACCACGACACGACCAATCGGCGACGAAGAACTCGAGGTACTACAGGTGGCCGTAATTATATGACACGTGGGGATCAGCGTTATTTTGCACTTCTAGCCAATTGCAGATCTCACACCAGTGGTCGAACTCCGATGGGCACACTGTTGCAAACGCAAGCGGACAAGCCAGATAGTCCCATACCTTGGAAGATAGCTGTGATCCTATTTGCGAACGGCTGTGACCCATTGCAGGACTACACGGCGTCACCAGGATCCGTAGCAGGATATGCGTCACGTTACTGCGCCACAACGATCAATCCGATGGTTTTTGTGCAGACACAGATGATCGCCTTGATGGATCAATACGTTGGGATGATGGGAGGTCCTTGTTTTTCTAGCGTTATTAGTTTTCTTGGAATAGTACATAGTAGCTTTTAGTTTTTGGAATACATAGAGATTTGTACTACAACAACTGCAGCGTAGTTTCTACTTTACCACTGTGTTCTATTTGTGTAGAAGTTGATGTCGTCTTTGATGCCACCATGCAAAACGTGTACCTGATATCAACACAGGTATGACATCATCCTCAAGGACAATGAATGGGTGGCCAATTGCGCGTCCTTTGCAGGCATCTGGTGTCGAAACTGTAGGGGACTCAAGGGCAGAACGGCATCGCGCTCGAAAACAGAGAATGCTTATGCAAGGACACCGGAATCAATGCGACCGGCAATACCACCCAGAACAAGTTCTTGAGGCGAATTATCCATCGCCACCAGGAGCAACTAATAGTAGTAGTAGCAGCAGCAGTAGTCCTGGCCCTAGTGGGAGCTCCGCGTCCTCTACCTTGCTTTTAAGCAAGTCTGTCCATACAGCGGGTCTCTCAGGAGCAACATTTTTTCAACAGAACGACTCCTCTAGTACGTCAGCGCAGGCAAATAATCCTCGTATGCAAATAGGAGGCTCAAGCTCCTCTTCTTGCGTTCCATCTAGCTTTCCTCGGGGATCACCTCTCGTTGGTACAGCAAGCACGCACCACGAGGGTGAGATCATAGTAATAAAGCGCGAGGAATTGTTCAGGCCTCGCAGTAGACTGGGAACTGGAGTCACAGCAGGAGAGTCATATCAATCACAGAGCAGCTCCTCAACGTTCTTGCCTAATGCATTCACAAGTACATCAGCATCGACATCTTCCTCTTCCTCTGTCGGGTTCGCGCCTTACACGTTTGACCAAGAAACTTCAACTTGGTTAGCATCGACACACGGTAGTACCAAGGCTTTACAACTTCCCGTAGGGGAATCTGAAGCAGTAAAAGGGCCTTCTGTACTAGAGCGACCAGTAAGAAGAGAACGAACTGCGCAACCTCAGCTTCCTGTGTCACAACAACCAGTTGTCTCGTCAACTTCAAGTTCCTCAAGCCTACTACCCAGGACAGCGAACAAAGACGAAGAAAATGAGTTAGATCGTTTGCCGCGTTGGGCTGACGCACGTTTGATTCAGAGAGTACGTCCAAAAAGAAAGCCTAGAAGGAGCAAGCTTAGTAGTCCTGAAAACAGCGAGGCAGAAGGAAGCGTTGACGATGACGAATATAGCACTGCGATGGCGAGCGACATGGAACCACAACTGCGAGGAGGAGTGCCTAAGCTAGTACCGGGTGTCACTGCAGCTAGTGCATCATCGTCGTCTGCGACCACGACGAGAGTGATATTTCATCATGGTGATACTGTGGAGCAAACGTTGTCGAGTAATACGTTTCTGGGCGTCGATATCAGTGACACAGCGTCTGGCAGTTTTCCTAGCGACTTTTTTCAGCAGGCGGACTACCTTCAACAAACGTCGAGTCAACATGCCGTAAATAGTAATGCAGATTTTTTGAACATGAACAACGTGCCATCAACGGGGACTCAAGACGATCTTGTTGCCTATCAGCATGAAGATGGCCAAGCGTCCACTCCAGGTCTCTGGGTGAATGGCCATGAAGTAAAGGACAAGCGCACCCAGCATCTTCTGCGCATGTGGGGACGCTACGTTCAGCTGTTTTTCGAAGGCAAACGATCTACCACAGCACCCTTTCTCCACTCTGGGGTGTTCCCTTTTCTCTTCCCGCACGTTGAAGACGAGGCTTCGTGGGAGAGACGGAAATGGTTGTGCTTGTTAAGGGCGTTTAGGGATCGGCAAACGGTTGCTTCTAGTTCAGTGGCGTTTGCAAAGAGGATAGATCAAGCGTTGGGTTTGGCAGGGTCAGGAGTAAGTTCAGAGGAAGAAATCATGCAAGATGCGCCTAGTTCCGCTGCTGCTGTCGGACCTAGTAGTAGCAGTCTAGTGATTACATCTGCTTCTACAACTACTCTCCTAGGAGACGCGCAACAACAAGGGACGAATAACAAGTCTACAACAACATCTTCAACAAGTCCTCGTTTTGCTTCGAGTAGTAAGCCGAATGCAGTAGTGTACTTGAGGAAGCATGGCCGTCTTCTCAATTCTGTGCTAGACTTGCCGGATGAAATGTTCCGAAAAGTGGCGAGCTACATGTAATTATACATTTTCTGAAGAACATGTTGAATTAGTTTTAGTGTACTGAAAGCATACTTCTTACAAGAGCATAGATACAGAACTGTAATATTGACATAATACTACAAATGACATACTTTTACATGGAGGATTTAGTATTTCCACCGTCTTCTATTCATTGCTACGTAGAAACCAGAGCTTGAATTTTCTTACACAATGTGTTGATGATGTCGAGTTTCCTCTTCTTATCGCAAATTTACCTTCTTATACGCACTAGCTGTGACTTATCATGAGAAAGACAAAGACAAACCTAAAGCACATGAAAACAACGACTCCTACGAAGAAGATTCTTGCTGTGAGATGACATTCTTTTTCAAAATACCATGCGGGAGACCCACGACGGTGGGGTGCTTTACTTTCGTCAGAGCGGTTTTACGGGGGCTGGATTAAGGCAAAAAAATGTGGCTTAAATGAGGTCAGGAAAAGACTCGATACTCGGTTTGCAACATCGGAAATATCGCTATAGGAAAAAGGTCAGAAATAGACTCTATATCTTAGGCAGTTTGCCGAATAGATTCAGATCAGACTCGGTTTGCAAAATAGGAAAAATGTCGGAAAAATGGTCGATGATAAAAATATGCACATAGCCTGTCATTGAGTTTATTCATCCTAAAGTTGTCAATCTATTACAACTGACACAAGGCAACGAAAAGATAAAGCAGCATGTCGACCGACGCGAATCGCCCTGCTGTCCCCGTTGACAGTGGCTGGCAGGGTCACGAGCAACCGCAAGTGGAGCTAAGAAGATCATATGTAAGAACTATACATTCATCTAACTTTTACTTCATCTCCTAATATATAAAAGTCTAACTTTTACTTCACTCTGAGGTTACTTACATTGTTGGAGGTGAGGACGATAGTAGTTCTATTTATATGAAGTAGACCTAAGTGAAAAAACTAAGCTAAAAAATCGATACTTATTACTTAGGCTCTCCTTTGGAGGTACCTTTGTATTGAGTGGCCTCACAACAAGTAGATATCAAATGCTACATAAGAGGTTCCATGACATGAGACATATGACAAAGGTAAGTAGTAGGAAGTAGTCCAGCACATCTTTGACGCTTTCCCCAGATGAAACTTCCTCGTGGTCGCATCCACGCCGTCCCTTCCGGTCAAGTCGAGTATGATGAGTTCGGCAACGTTTCAACCGGCATTGCCTTTGTCCGTGGACCTGACTCGCATTTAACGGGTGCTCGCACTGTGCCGTTTTTGCGCACAGAAGAAACCACTAGACCTGGCGCGAACCAAGCTCTTGGACCAAGTGCAAGACAAGTCGGATCGAAACTCTACCAAAACGAGTGGGTCTTTCGTGCTCCGGAAGAACCAGGATCGCACTTTGCGGATGACTATGAGAAAGCGGTAGATGAGAAATTGGGAGTGATTTATATCCAGAAAGCAAAACAAAAAAGCCGCATGAAGTTTGCTGATCAAAGACTAGAAGCAGCAAGACGTGAAATATTACGGAAAGACGCTCTGGCAAATGAAACGTTTGACGTGAATAGGCCGTACTTGTGCTTCCTGAGTTTTTTATAGTTATAAAATGCTACATAGGAGGTTCGAAGTTTATATAGTTTTCTTATAGTTATAAAAGCACTAAATAAAACAACCGGTTCGTTTTTACCTCTAGCGTGTAGCCCTTTCAACAATATAGTTATAAAATGTTCCGGTGCTTCTAGCGATTGATATTGTAGAAAAAACATCCTTCGACCACCAGGCAATGGTACGACTCGTATAGTGGACAGCCTCTAGTACAACGGCACGGGAAAATGATAATAGCAGAGGAACATGACACTGGCTATGACGTGGATCCGCTTGCCGGCGTCTTCGACTTCGACAACTTTAGGATAGCATGGCCGTTCTCTAAACCGGAAAGAAACAAAATGATCACACAAGGGATCTATGATTGGTACTGTTTAATTTTTTTGAAGGGAGTAAGTTTTTCAATAGCTGTTTCAAGAACCAACCGAGACATGATCTGTCTTCGTAGTAGTAAACACTAGACTCCTCCTCGTTTTTAGACTTAGACATCTTCTGTCTTCATGCATGCTAAACACACTAGACTCCTCGTTAGACTTAGAACATGGACTTGTTGTGCTTGCCCCCTTGTATTATCTTAACGGAACATGTTGTCCCTTTTGTCCCTTCACCCACCTCCTCTCAAAAGGTACGACCGCGGCAACCCTTATATTCAAAAGGATGAGGACGTTAGGATCAGAGAACTTGCGACTTCGTATATCGACGCAACAGAAAGCGAACAAGGGAACGTGGTGCTGAACACACTAGATGATGTCATCGATGCGCTGAGACCTATATAGAGTCATTTGAAATGAGATGGGATTCTACTTTCATCTTCAGAATGTCAGAATGGAGGTGGCGGGCGTGTTTTTGCATAGAGCCAGTACAACTAGAACTCTTAGTCTAAGTACTAGAAATATACTGATATTATGGAAGATAAGGATTTACCAGTCAATTTTGCTTTTTTTCTGAAACTTTTGATAATTTTGTTGGTTGACCTATTTTTCGCTACCCCATCAGGTCCTGTGTATAGGAAGACCCGCCTAATCATAGCATTGACGTGAGATTCAGCATTGCGATGGCGCCACCATCAGATCGTCTCGAAGACAGACTACCTTGACCGACGTAGAATTTTCTGCTACCTTGAACAGGCGACTATATTTAACTGTTTTGCAAGTACTGTTTGTCTGTTTGGAAAGACTTTTTAATCTTTGGCTCCTAGAACAAGGAAAAACTACTTGTTGGAGCTGCTTGCAGATTTCGAGTGTTGAAGTCCGCGGAAAAGGAGAGGAAAAAACGCTGTCCTCGAGTGACTGCGAGGTAGGGAAATTTTGCCATCGCGAGAGAGGTACTTGAGAAGGAGTGAACATGAGTGAACTTGAGAAGGAGATGAGTTGATGCTTTACGAGTAGAAATAGAAAGTGAAACAAATCTGTATGATTTTTTCAACTAGTACTTCATTTTCAAGAAAAGGTATCACCAAGGCTGCAAAGCACTAGGCCAGCGTAGAGGCAGGGACTAGTAAAAAAGGAGCTGCAGGAGCGCCTGGTATGCCGAACTAACTCGCAGAAAATGGCTGTGACTTCCATTTAGAATATTCAGACAAAGTAAAAAGTACATAGAAAAAGAATCAACTGCAGATTCACCTTAATAACAACTCTCTAAGAACTAGTCTTAACAAAGTACTTCCTTTCTCTTCTTCTCTGAAGATCCAATTCCCTTCGCCTACTCAATCCTGAGTCCTCACACCAAAAAAAAACCTATATCATGGCCGACCCAGTATACCCTGTTCCGGTGCAGCTCCCGCCGGAGCCCGCGGTGAGCAGTGACAGTATACCGCACAGCAGCACCGAGAGTCTAAGACATAGTTATGCTGGGAACGGGCAGCTTGCTGAGCGGATAGACACAGCAGTCGGGGCAGTGAGCACGAATGAAGCATTCCGAATGCGAAAGTCCGTGTCGCAAAGCGCAAAGACAATACAAAACCGAATCAATTACTTTAAGGTACAACTTTTCCTACACTCCGTGTTCGGACCGTAGAAAGTGTTGGAACAAGAGGTTAGGCGAGGTCTCTTTCAAGAAAACATCATGACTTTACTTCTCTTCAGCATGACACCAATAATTCCACTCTTTTTCACAGCGCGAAGAAGACAGAATTTGGAAGGGCCTTGAGGAGGTGCGAAGACAGGCGGGAAAAATAGAAGATGGGCGAGGGCGAATACTAGAGAAGAAGCTGGCTGACAAAACAGTAATTCCAAATGTTGCTGTTGGATGCAATCATACACTTAGAAGCGTGCTTGAGTATTTAACATCAAAGTACTCGAACGTACTGATACCACTAGACACTGGTTTCTTACGTCTTAGTACCTCTTTTTCTTACCCGAATTACCTTCAAGGTAAACCAACGCAAGCAGCAAGACTTTTATCAGCGGAAAATGCAAGTCACGGAAATGCGACATAGCATTGAGCACGGCAAGGCGAGTACACGTGCGGAGCTCACCAATCTGAGACAAATGCAAGGGCAGCTCCGAAAACGAGAAGCGCATGAGGCGTTTAGACAGAAACAGGCAGCCGATCAGCAAAGAAGATTAGCGAACTCAGACAAAGTTCTGCAGCAACAAAGAGAGCAACTGGAGGCGAAGCTGAGAATCAATCAGGAGAAGGTAATGCTTTGAAGATGGTTTTGCTTTAGATGGGTTCACGCAAGTAGGCCCTTAAGTGCCTCACAGCCCGGGACGCCTCGGTCCCTTAAGTGCCACACCTAAGTGCCTCACAGCCTGAGACGATCGGGCCCCTTAAGTGCCTCGGTTAGGTGCCTCACAGCCCGGGACGCCTCGGCCCCTTAAGTGCCTCGCTTAGGTGCCTCGCAGCCTGCGACGATCGGGCCCCTTAAGTGCCACGCCTAAGTGCCTCGCAGCCTGAGACGATCGGGCCCCTTAAGTGCCTCGCTTAGGTGCCTCACAGCCCGGGACGCCTCGGCCCCTTAAGTGCCTCGCTTAGGTGCCTCGCAGCCTGAGACGATCGGGCCCCTTAAGTGCCACGCTTAAGTGCCTCGCAGTCTGAGACGATCGGGTTGCTTAAGTGTCTCGCTTAAGTGCTTCACAGCTTGAGATGGTGGGGTCCCTTAAGTGTCTCGCTTAAGTGCTTCGCAGGCTGATGCGCTGCTTAACGAGTGACTGCTTCACATAAGCCGCGCCTCGCTTAAACGGTGACTGCCGCACTAGAGCAGGCCGTCGCCTAAGTAGTGACTGCCGCACTTGAGCGGCGCCTCGCTCAAGTAGCGACTGCTGCACATAAGCCTCGCCTCGCTTAAGTAGTGAGTGCTGTACTTGAGCCGCGCCTCGCTAAAGCAGTGACTTTAATTGACTTCACCCCTTCATTCAGGCCGACCGATTGAGTCGTATACGAAGAGAGCAGGATGTAGCACGAAGAAAGCAAGAGACGGAAGTGGAATTTATAAACAACCAAATCCCTCAATTAGAAGAAGAGGAGATGCGATGTCTGCAGCGATTGCAGAACTCACGTACTATCTTCATCTTGAGGGTGTACTATGCTTTGAGTTGTCTTTTCAACAAATGCCGAGAAGAATTTCTCCTTAGAAGACCTCTAGAACATGAATTCACTTGTTCCCACTAACACTAGGTATGTATCATGTTCATTCGGAAACTAACATTAAAACATTGACTCTGATGAACTACACTCTTCAACTTTCGAAAAGGTATAGTAACCCAGAGTGTCTTATCCGAGTTAGAAGGGAGTCTCGGAGCTAGAAATCCAGTTACGAATTTACTACGGGCCAAAGCGCTCAGGACTCAATCGGTTCTCGAAGAAAGTCAGTTCGATTTAGCTGCAGTGCAGGAGGAAGATGACGAGGTATTGGACTCAGTGAATTCAAAAAAAAAATCAGTCAATTTCTTGAAAATTAGTACAATGAATATGATCAACATAGTAAGTAATGCCGCGGTTATTACATAATGCCGATCAACATATTAATAGTAGGATCATTATATTAATAGTTATTACATGGTGCTGTTGCTCCATTTAAGATTCCGACTTGGAACACTTCCTTGCTCAATCTCCTCCAGGGTCCTCCCGAGACTCCAACCGGCTACGATTTTCAGCCAGGAGAGCGACGCTGAACGCTGAGAATTCTCGGTGTTCAATGCAGCTTTTCGGGTTAACACCGATCTGCTCAATTTGAAGATTTCGCATTGAAGATTATTTGCACGAATATTACTTACCACGACCACAGTATGCAGCTTTTCTGGGAATAACCTTACACGACCGCCTGATATCGGGATTAAGATGACGATGAGAAACTTGGCCTTCAAGCCATACTGACCCACTTTTGCATTTGACGTCTTGCTATCATGGTATTTTTTGTTGAACGCAAGATTGAAAAGTTGAAAATTGATCACTTCAGAAGCCATTCTATGTCACTTTTGGAAACATCGTGAGTGCACTGTAGAAAGAAACCTAACAAACTGTGTGCATGACTTAGTCCTTCGAACTACCGTGATGACACCCACGATAGTTGTGAAATTAAATTTAGGTGAACCACGAGAGTAAACGAAAAAGATGCATCCACTTCTAGACGCTGCTGCAACGCATGATGACGAGAGAAAGGAGGTTCTGTTCTGAGACGAGAGTTGTTTGTCTGTGCTGTAATTGATAAAGTGTCTGTACGAACGAGATCTCTTTATCAAGTCAAAAGTGATTTCGTTCTGCTCGAGTGATAGAGATGTCTTTCGGTCTTGATGTAGTCGGGGTTGAAAAAAGTTGCAAAAGTGAAGCCATCAAAAACGACTTCCCCAAGCTGCAAACCAGAGCGCTTTCAAACAATTTGTGCCTTTTTTGACCCGCAAACCGACTTTCGTATTTTTGGTGTTGAATACTTCCTCCTGTGTAAAAAACTCAAAACGAATACTTAAAATGTAGAATAATAGTCTTTGGGTACTATACCACTTTATTTCTCTGATTTTTCCTTCCTCGATAATCAGTGTATACTAACTTGTAATCTCTCCCCGCAAATTGAATTTCACCATCCTCAATCAACAAGCTCTACCTCAGATTCTTTGAATGACTCCCTTCTCAACGACCAACGGTTAAACATTTCCTGATTCGTTTTAGTTAAGTACACACTTTCACAGTAGACTAAGAGCGAAACGATATCAGGAGAAATTTCAAACACACAAAATGGTCGAAGGTGGTTATCTCGTCTATACAGACGACAGTCATGGTACCTTGTTCCTCAAATGGAGCAAGGAGCCGGTGGAGGGTGCTCTAGCCTTTTTCGAAGCTGGGAAACCAATACCACCATTCAAATTCAGCACGAACCATGGCAAACAACAATTGATGAAAGAGTGCCAAAACAAGAACAAATTCTTCGAAGGATGGGGAGCGTTTCTGAAAGAGGCGCTTTGCAGGTACCAACTTGTTATGAAAAGAATCTTCAATCGCTCTGGGAGTGGCGGGATAATCTGATATAGAGCAAGGTTGTTGAAAGAAATACTAGAATCTAGTCGATCTTTGGAGAGGACGTTATCTTCATGTCAACAAACACAGAGGACAAAAATTACAACATTCGTGTCCGAAAGAGAGCAAATGGATGCTTGAATCTTCACACCCGCTATGACCATTCATCAACAAAGGTTCAACGCCCGAAGCCTTAAGATTTTCGATAAGCAGAATGCCAGGGAAGAAGTACAGATCGCACTGCTAGAAAGGTCAACAAGTGCTGTGACAAGAATAGAATCAGGACAAGAATGGAGCGGGGATGTTACGACAGTATTCGCGTTCGCAGTAGTCCCGAAAGACAATGAATCCTTCAAACTGGGAACCCTGGACCAGAACCTATTCGTGAGCAAAGGTATTTTTACATACTATTGTATTTGCATTGCTTGAATGATGACTTAAGCTAATGCTGCTATTGTTGATGGTATTCTAGATGTTGACGTTGTACGAGGACAAAGAAGAAATTGTGTGGAGAAGGAATGTCTTCGAATTTCTTGCGGAAACTCTCTGCGGAAGCAAGCTGAAAATTCATTCCCTCTACATTGTCTCCAACCTCACAGCGAAAATAGAGGGTTGCGGGTATGCAGTGAATTAGCGCGGCGTCGTCGAGTCAACATACTTGTTTTGTATTTTTGCTCATCCCGACCCCCATTCCGACCCCTGCTGGGCATGCTGGCTCAACCCGCTGGCTCTCCAGAACCACGACTACCAGAACAAGACCGATTCCCTAGTACAACAACTGGAGCGAGGACCTAGTACAACCACGATGCTACAAAATGGAAACGATTCTACCAGTACACCAAATCCCAATGACAATGAACCAGAATAAATCCCGCTCTCCAAATGATACTCCGTGCTTCATCCGCCACGACATCTTCTACTTCTTCCTGAACAGTCATAGTGCCTTTTTACCGCTTCGGCACATCACATCTAATGCCTACAACTACTACGTCCTCCACTGACTCCTACACTGTAACATCTAATGCGTATAATCAGCCTTGTAACTTCTATTACACTCGTCAATAACAATATCGACATCTTCGCCACTGACTTCTACTGCAAAGACTATTCTACACCATTCGCGTGCGTCTCGGCCGGATCCTCACATTTTCCTAGTCGCTTTTTACAGTGAGGCGGTCAAAGTCGCGCACGTTTCCTCCGAGCATAGGTAAGAACCCGTTTGGAAGGCCGATGAAGATGATGGGAACTACTAGGGGGGAACAACAGCAGGAAGAAAGAGATACAACTTTTCCAACTAGAAAGTGATCATGATGTTTAGATAGATGAATCAATTACACCCAACAAAAAAATTCTACTTCACATCATCAGGTCAACAAATTGGTGCTGCGCACACCGTGGAGGTAGCTCCAGACGCCAGAAAATCAGCACCTGCAACCTTGATCATGAACGATAGCCTGATCAACAATCCGGATACGGGTCATCATCGGAATACGGTTGCCTAGGCTTTTGCCCCTTTAGAGACTCCGACTCGAATTTACATTATTGTTTTAGGGAAGAAAACAAGCTGAATCTGAAGGTGGGGACTAGTAAAATGTAACTGTACACCTTGTTTGGAAAGAGACGACGACCGATTGGAAATAAAAACAAGAGCAAAGCCTTCATCCTTGAATGGCATTTTGTCGAGCTTGTTCTAGTAAAACGTGTTCTAGAGGATGAAAATTTCGTTCTCGTATTCGGTTTTCGTCTTTCGCCTCTGCATCGGTCTACATTTTCGCCAGACTAATGTTCATTGCGAGCGGTTTCGAAACTTCTCACCTTCGTACAAGGACGACGCAGCGTTGAGAGATTTGCTACATTCATCTATTTTTGCGTAATCGATCCACCAAAAAAAAGACAACCGGGAAGCTCCCTGATATTTCATTCTCTACTTCATACATTGTACCAGACTAGAAAAAGATGCCAGAGTTTCTGAATCCCGCTGAAACTGAAAATTTTCGGTTTACTCTTCGTCCTAGCGGGTCTCCGCTGGATGCTGAAGGGGATGAGAACGACTATGCAAGTTTTCTTGAAGGTTCGGTTGCGGCGATACTAGCAACTAGTACAGGCGACGAGGAGGATGCCACAACTGTCGAAGAAGATGCACCGGTTCACCCGCGCAGAATTTTCAAGAGCAAGGAGGCGCCACCGAGGGGGCAAGGTACTTCTAAGAATTAGTGACTAAACAAACTGCTTGTTGCAGACGGCGGGCTCACTTGTCGTTTTGTTCTTGTGCCAGATGAATTTAGATTTACAACATGAACTTCATTCGCGTGAACTTGAAGACTCGAGCCAACGACTGTTATTCTTGAAGAACTTGAAAAATTCAAGGTCTCCCCCTCCGCATGGGTCCCCGATCCAGAAGGGGTTCGCTCAGTGGTAACAATGGCTTGAAAGTGCGCGTCCCTAGACCCCCAGATAGGGAAGATGAAAGCGCTTTCACATTTTCCGATCGTTTTCACATCGATGAAGCTAGCTTTGGCGGCTCTACAGTCCAATCACCAAAGAGTAGTCCTAATCACAGTCCGCAAGACGATCATAAAGGAGGAGGTATTGTTAGTAGAGGAGCACCTATAGCAGGACATGGTGCGCAACAAGATGGACAGCAAGATGTAGATGATGCCTCACATCTACAAGCATCGATTGCTTCTTTGAAGTTGGAGTTGATAAAGTTGAGTAGCAGCAATAGTGCTTTTGCAAGTGGTGTTGGGGGTGGCTCCATTGGTCATATGAAGAGCAGTATGGGCGGTCGTTCTGGAACAGCTAATCTATCAATATCAGCACAACGTACACAAACTAGTGGACAACTCGTCGGGGAAAGCCAGAGGCCTGGGAGTGCAGATTCTACAACTAAAGGAGAAGGAACTACACCCCCACTAGTTGTAGAAGATATCCCTTGGGACTCTGCTGCGAGTTTACTAGCAGCACATCTTGCATCTGAGACGTCTAGACGTCAAGAAGCGATAGTGCACTGGGAAGCAGAGATAGCCGCGGAGCGCGAAAGTTGCCGTGTGCGTCGCCAAGAGGAGCGAGCGAAGCGGAGAGAAGCAGCGCGAATTGAGGCTGAGGGCGGTGGAGCTGCTGCTGAGGCGAAAGCTGGAGAAAGTGGAGAACCTTCGTTGGGAGATGAACAACTAGTGCGAAGTGATACTGAGAAACCAGGTGAGGAGGCGGTTGCGGGAGAAGGTGACGCTGTGGCATCAGAGAAACCCGAAGATGCGGCGAGCGGTACTGCGGCGAATGCTGCAGCTTTAGCCGAAGAAACACCTCCTGCCGAAGATGGTAGTGCAGATCAGGCGGATGAATCTGCTGCAGCACCACCGGCGGAAGAAGCAAAAGCAGATGGCACTGGTGCTCCCCCACCGCAAGAGGCAGAAGGAGGAGCAGATGAGTCACCAGCAGTCGTGGATCAACTACCAGCAGACGAGGAGGCAGCAAAACCTAAAGCAGAAGAAGACACTGAGAAAGTAGAGGAGCCGACTGCTGCCGCCGCAGACCCAGTTGCCACTGAGGGCGCGCACGAATCTGCAGATCCGGATGATGCCGCTGCTGCGGAAGATAATGGAGAATCTGAACCTGCTGCAGAAGCGGATGCAGCACCCAATGAGGAAGAAGATGAAGCTGGAGCAGATGCCACTGAAGAAGCAGGGGATGCTGTACCAGTGGCAGAAGGTGAAGCTGAAGATTCACCTGAGCCTCAAAGAGAAGTAGTATCTTCTTCCTCTACTAGCGAAGACAAAGTCGGAAGCATGGACGATGACGTTTTTCCGACAATAAAAAGACCTCGACGTCGCGCGGGAACGAACGAGGATGACGAAGAATTGTCAGAAGAAATGCAAAAGACGCTTTTTGCCGATGTTGAGGTGCCGGCTATTCCGGCTGTAGTGGAGGAGGACTATTCGCTTGGTAAAAAAGAATTACTGCTGGTGACTATTTATCATTTCCCCCTCAAGCACTAAGACTAACATCACATCAATAAAGGACAGTCTTGGACATCTTCTTTCACATACTACATTTCTGGATCATCTCTTGAAACTAAAAGATGGAAAATAATGTCTACTTCTGTAGTTGGATCTGCTAGAGTTTTGTTTTCTTCTTCTTGACCATCATACATTCAACTCACCGTCCGACTCGCTTCAACAGCTTCTTTCCGTGCCGCCGCTTTTCTCCCCAATCCTGCTTTTTCTGACGCTACTGACGAGAGTTTACTGAAACATGCCACCGCAAGTGGCTTCGCAGTCTTAGACGGTAGGGACGCGGTTTTTTGGGACGTTAGGGCTAAGAAGGAGGACGAAGGCATCTGGGTCAGTTTGTGCCACATTGACTCGGAGATAGAGGGATTTGCAAGTGGAATGCATGACTCATCTTCTTCAGAGATGGAAGGAGGTGGTTCTGGAGGCTACAAGACTAGTCAAGTAGAACATGATCCTTCAGAAAGTAGTTCCTCAGAAGCTGAAGAAAGACGTCGAAAAGCAGCAGAGGAAGAAGCAGCAAACGTGCCACCACCTCCGTTGTCGGAATTTGTGAAAAATGGAGGATCAATAGACAAATTTTTAGAATGGACGTGTAACTTTGTCGTAGTCTGGGCGAAGATGCAAGGCATAACGAATTTCGACGCGGCTCTATTGCCTAAATGCTATTTCGCTGCGCGCAAATCGGGGGAAACAAGAGCGAAGTTGCTGGGGATATAGATTTAGGTGGGTAAGTCCATCATAACAATTCTTATAAGAGGATTTGTTCTTATTTCATAAATGAAGCCTACTTCAATGGTATGATGATACATCACTCAGAAAATGAACCCCTCCATGTTCGATTACTAATCACACTGCAAAGAAATGTCGCTACTACTACCTGCTTACCGTATCTATCATGAACGTCGCAACTTAGGTCAATAATATTTCCACGTGAACTCCTTGAGAGTATAGCTTTATGAAGTAAAGTAGGTAAATGAACAGATATAGATCGTCCTCCAAAATGAACCAAGCCTGCTCTTCTAGGCAAAGAATGGAAAATGAACTGATTGTAACAAGGATGAAAAGCATCCCTCATTCGTGGTAGAACTAGAAGAATATGTTATGACCAGACAATTATCACCAGGAACGCTCTTTCCTGTCAAAGAAGTAGCGTGTTAAGACGGCTCGACGCGGATTATTTGGAGTGACTTGAACGAGCGAGAGGTGCGTCAGTACCGAGAAACCTTTTGCTTTTACTTACTGAGAGGGAGACATTGCCAGAGACGAGCACAACTGAGAGAGAAAAAATGGGCCTAGGAGGATTCTGCAATCCCAAAACAAAAGGCATGGGGGCATGGAGTCACGGCATACTTACTTTTTCAGCAACGTACGCAGTACTAGTCCACCTAAGGTTAAGACATAACCTGGCCAATGAATGGTGCGAGAATTAGAGTTTGATTTTTTTTCTCTGGAAAACCTAGGTCCGAGGACGATGCCCAGTCTGCAATTGTCACCGGTCCGCGTCGAGGAGGCCTTGCGTCTCGAGTCTGCGCGCAACGTGCCAGTTCCGGAAACACCTGACAAGAGTGGCAGAAAATCAGAGAAAAATGGTGCACTTGCAGCACCAGTAATGGAATCAAAGAACAACAAACAGACTCTTAGACGTACTTCCGCAGGGGCTTCGTCGTATCGGACAGCAGATAGTAGTTCTTGTCGGCCATCTTTGGCGGAGTCAAGGAAAGAGGATGCAAGGCAGAGCGATGTAGGATCGAGGAAAAGCGGTGGAGATGGGCGTAGATGGCGAGAAGACTTAACCGCTGCGCAGAACGATAACCTCCCACGACGAGAGACAATCAATACTAGTGGAGATCACCAAGAACAAGGCGGTCAAACGGAACATGCTTCGCCTGATTTTGATTCTCAAGAAGTAGCCTGTGCTGAAACTCCTGCTCCACATACACAGCACGGTGACAACTCATGTGGTTCCATCATCGCCTTTCGCGGTGGCAAAATCCTCCATTCTTCCACGGGCAAGAGTGGCAAGTTCGCCGGACGTGGTCGAATCTTGAGGTACAATGATGATGACAGTCGGTTGGCAGACCACGATGACGGAAGTGGATTTTTAGATGGTGAAGAAACGGAAAGAAGTGGACTGTACTTCGACGATGAAGTAGGTGATAGGAGTGCTGAAGATGGTGGTGCTGGTAGATCTCGATCGATTGTAGTGGAGGACTATTACGGAGGAGGAGGAACAACACCTACACCGCACTTGGTTAATACGAGTGGAGGACCTCGAGGGGCGCAACAGCACTATTCAAGCAGACGTGGTGATCATGATACATCTCTACAGCCGGAAATAAGTATCGTGGCAAGTCTTGCGGTGTCGAACTCTAGCGGCAATGAAGATGACATTGAAATTCCTACAACTAGGATGGTGGACAAAGACAAGGAGCCAAGCCCCAGGTTTGATGAAGACAATCATGACGAAGAAGACGAAGATAGAGACCGAGTTTTCTTTAACATTTCGTCTTCGAATTCTTCCCGACCACGATCTTCAGCTCCTGAGCAAGTTAACGGCCCCACTAGTACTACACAAGAAGATCGAGAGGTTTTTATCTCTTCATCCTCCTCTTCTTCCTCCTCTTCTTCCTCCTTGCACTCAAAAAATCACTTGCAGAAACGTGTGATGGAACTAGAGGAGTTGATCAGGACACAGCAAAGGCAAGTGTTTGGTATGGTGCATGGCTGGAGCTCGTTGTTGTCTGTCGCGACCTTCTTCTACACCTGGAGGCACTTAGCACAAAAATCCCGAATGGACGAGTTGCGAGTACAATTGAAGATGGATGATCCGGATACCAGTAATATTCATCTCCATCAAGAACAACAACAGGAAGTAGGGTCGCAGGATAGAAGTATGGTGTACTGTTCGCCTCAAGATGAGGTTGAGGCTTCACCTGCTGACGGGAGACCAACGAGGAGAAATAGTAAGACGTCCTCCAATTTCGCGTTACAACAAGTTCACTGTAGCACTGTTGATATCTTCGGGAGCTGTGATATCTTTGGTCGGCCTATTACTAATGCAACGAATTCTTCCTCTTCATCTTCTTCAAGGAACAATGCAAACATTGACGCTAGTTGTACCAGCACATCCCCTGGCTCTAGCACTACGAGGCTGATGTCCCAGAGTGTAGACAATTTGCGTGGTCCAGCGGTTCTTCTGGAGCAAACAAAACGCGATTTAGCCAGTGCAAAACGAGAATTAACTGACAGTCGGCGCAACGAGCAGCAACTGCGCTCTGAGGTAGCGGCATTGGATACTAGTTTGATGCGAGTAAGAGGCGACTTGATTCAAGCTGAGGAAGCGCGTGGAATGGCTTTCAGGGAAGCTCAGGCTGTGAAAGCTGAAGTGCAAGCGGTGAAGATGGAGTTGCATAGGGTGATGAGCGAACTGGAGGAGCAAAGAGCTGTAGCTGAAGAGGAAAGGCGGAAAAGCGAGGAAGCAGAGAGGAAGTGTGAAGAACTGGAGAGGACGAGGGCTAGACACCTGGCAGTGGATGAAGCAGTGGCAGAGGACGAAGAGCGGGTCTTGCTGGAGGAAAGTTTGCCTTCAGGACTAGACCTGGAGGATAGTCAATTGGAAACGTCTGAGGGAAGGCAAAGGCCGCATACACTGGTTTCTTCACGGTATATCTTCTATATTCTTCAAACTACACTCTCGTCCTGATCTTCTTGAGTTTTGAGTTTCTTTTCAAAGTTTTCCAATGTTCATTCCCTCTTCAAAGAAACAACCATCTTCAGGGCACTCGCGAGTGACGATGGCGGAAAACGCGAATCTTCGAAGAAGACTCTCGAAGATGCGTTGCAATTGTCGGGAAGTCCCGGTCTTGATATGCTCATGGCTTCTAGCGTTCGAAGTGTAGCAGCTTCACCAGGACCAATGACTGAGAACAAATATGGTTCCACTTCCATCGACGTCGGAGGAGGAGGGGGGAATAATATTACCAATACGTCAAATACAAATGCAAATGCCACTTCTACCTCTACTAGAGGTTTCTTGACGTCATGTTCTAGCAGTACCTCTTTCGTTTTCTCAGCTGGGAGTGGGACAACGAGGATGGGCATGGGCCAAACCACAACTAGTACGAGCATGCCGAGGCAGCCAGTTGCGTGGACAACATCGCCTTTGGAGGGTGGTGGAACCGCATTCGACTTGCGACCACCATCTTTGGGTGGAACTGTGGCTAACATTGAGAGTCACACCGATAACTGTACAGGAGGAGCAGTAGCTGGGCAAGGGGTTGATGCTTTATCTTTGTCTTCTGGCGCAGTCGGAGTTGCAGATCACCAACAACAGTTGCATCAGCATGATAGTGCGATTAATCGAGTGCTTTCCCGTGCCACACCAGGCGGATTATTGTCTTCATCTAGTGCCACCGCTACTGCAACATCTGCAAGGCCATTGTTTTACGAATATGTGGATGGACGTAGTGTCTTGCACGACATAGGTCGTCGGAGGAAATTGTCTTCTGATGCTGGTAGCGTGAATTCGGGACTTGGCGGAGCTACAGGTAGTGAGGGTACAACTCACAATATGGACCAGAACTGTGGTCTCCGAGATAGACGTCATTCTCAACAGAGTACGACGTCGAACAACACTAACTTCGTGCGTCCTTCTACAACTGGCAGCTACAGGGAAACAGGAGGCATGGCAGACCAAGTTGTTGAGCGACCGTCTGCATTTGCCGGGTATTTGTTCCATCGTAGCGACATATATGATATCCAAGAGTCTCCAGGAGACCCACCTTCACTTGAGAAAAGGCACAATCATCTACTTCAAGAACGACAGGATCATGCCACCTCTGGCGCCTACATGAACAAGAACCCAAGTACTACGACGACGAGGAAGGCTAGCCATGGTAATCTTCCTCTGTCTTCTAGTGGAGGCTATCCTCTGAGTAGCGGTTATCCTCTTAGCGGTTATCCTCTGTCCAGTTCCAGTAGAAGTGACGTCTTCCAAAGGGAAATGGAGATCGAGAAAACCGCCAGTCGGCAAAGATACAGCTTGCCTGGATACAGTCGTCGGGAAGAGCATTTTAGTGCCAGTCGTAATACTGTTGAGCAAACATCAAGTGGAAGTGAGCTGCCACCATCTACTTCTCAGTGGGTGGACAGGCGATTTCCACAACTCGTATCACCGTCTCTTGGTAGTCCTGCAGGTGCCACCAGAACAATACTGCAGCAGGACAATGTAAATATTGACGTACCACCAGCACCGACTTCCCTAACATCTTCAACATCTAGTACCGCCCGAACGACAGCGCCATCTTGGACCAGTGGTTCTCGTGGTAGGCATTCAGCACAGCAGGCAACTACGTCGTTGTCGGGAATAGCATCGTCGAATCAGCCAGCTTATAGTAGTGGAACAACAACTTCGGCTTCAGGCTCGGGATCGGGGGGTCCCGCATCTATACCGTCTGCTAGCATACCTTTCATCTCATCATCCTCCACTTCAGCATCAGTCCCCCTTGCTGCTCGGGCATCACGGCCACCGCCAGCGCGCAAGGCTTCGATCGAAATTTTGGAGACACCGCGAACAACAACTAATGACTACCAATTCGCAGCTTCGCGAAGACCTCTGGGTGAAATCACGAGTGCAGCACTCGACTCAGCAAGCAATTCTGGCGCAGGCGTTGGCGGAGCTGGTGGAAGTCAACAACAACAACAGCAAATGTTCACGCCATCGTCCAAAAATCCACTGCCTTCACCAGCAGAGCAGCACTACAACAACTTGATATCTACTGAGAGATATCGACCAAGAACGAACTCTGCCTCGAGGGGTCCGAGTGTAGATCCTTCTGTTAAGGCTACTGCTGAAGCATCCATAGTATCATTCTTGGCGCCTTTTTCAGGGGGAAAAAGGTCCCAGGGATGGCCTCAGGGATGCGACGCGGTAGTGCTAATTCCGGGGGTAATCGTACACCAGGAGGAGGAATGTCTGCGCGTAAAGCACCGCCAACGACACAGTACTCTCCGCGCATTACAAAGTTGATGTCGCCAAGGATCATTGTGCCTCAAACGACTTCACCAAGGATAATCGTGCCGAACGCAAGCAATAATCGTTACTTTTGAACATGCTGTCTTAGCGCTGTAGGTAATAGCCCAATGTCACAGGTTCTTAGAACCCAATTTTTTTGACTCTTTCTGAAATAATTCACTACAACTTGACATCGTGATAAATAATTGGTCGTGCTTTTACATTTAGAGTTATTGTTTATGTTTTCCAGAGGTGAGGCATCGACATTGGATACGCCGATAATATGGGAAGGTAACAAACTTCAGAATCTGATTCTGAATGTTGATCTTGTGTGATGAGTACAATGTTGAGTAGTTGATGTAATCATCATCTAGACTTCTATGGAAACCATGTAGTAATATCTTTCACTTGCAGCTCAGTCTGTCGCTTGTCCTGAATAAGTTGTACGTCAACTAAGGTGTGGCTTTGTTCTAGCCTACTTACAGCACGAAGAGAAATTCAATTGTTGTTGATGATAGGGCACATCATGCGTAGACAGCTGTAGTCAGTGAAAAAAACTTCAAGTTGATCGATGTAGAATTTCACTCGGTTAGAGATTGTCACTTTCACTTAGTAGACTACTACGACTACTAGGTGGTCCTGGTCTCCTCAACAAACATCCAAATATGCTGTTGATCCTAGTTCAAGAAAATCAGGAATTGTTAAGCGCGTAAGATGCATTTTGCGCCTGGCTTGAGCTAAAAGCTTTCCACCTAGACTTGACAGCAGTACCGAGTCTCACGACTTCCAGTCTCACGTCAAGCCGAGGTGCGGTCACTGTTCCGGACATCAGCCGAAAGAGTCACGGCCCAGTAGCGTACTACGCTGAGTGAAGCTTTTTTGGATGCGAAGAATTGAGGCATTTCTGCAGTTTTTGGAATTAGAAGTAGATTTTCCATGATAATTTAAAAACTCTTTTTATTTTTTCAAATTCAAACACCGATTCACAAAAATGTCATCATTATGCATCTGCAACTTGGGTCTGCTCGTCACTTGCGCTCCAGAGACGTTGACCAAAACAGCCACGTCTAGTGCAAAGCCTACAGGTACCGAACCGTCTTCTCCGAAAAGGCGTCATGCATCCGATGATCCTTTAGGTCGTGTCCTTGGTCCCGCAGTCATCTTCATAGATGAGAACAAGAAGGTGAACTAAGGGTTTCCAAATTGCATTCTTCATTTGCATCCCTGACCTTCTTTCAAATGTTTGTTTGAAAAGAGGTCAGGGAGGTCCTGAAGAACGTAACTAGTACTGCAACCTACCTCTAAGTCAAGTACTGTGGCTCAGAAGTAGACTGTCCCTTTTCCTTCACCGATGAAGCGGATGTGACTGTAGATGGTTCGGGATTGATAGCGTTACCAGGTTTAGTCGATTGCCACACGCATGCCGTGTGGGCAGGGTCAAGGGCAGAGGAATTCGCAGAGAGGTTAAGGGGTGTCAGCTATGTGGACATCCAATTACGTGGTGGAGGTATCAACAGTACGACAAGAGCGACGCGCGCAGCCTCAGTCGCAGAGTTATACGCAAGTGCACAAGCGAGAGTTGATACGGCGAGAACGATATGTTGAATCGCAATACCCTTCCTCAGCCTCTCTCAGAGAGCCTGTGCGAATAGCGATCTTGTCGAACACAACTAAACAAACTCTAATCGATACAAGTTAGTTCGCATCAATGGTGCAACGACCGTTGAAATCAAGTCCGGATACGGACTGTCAGTCGAAGCAGAAGCCAAAATGTTAGAGTTAAGGGTTGAAAACGAAAGTTGACCTATCTAAGAGCATACTTCTGACCTTTTCAAGGGGCAGTGGCAGAGATCTGCAAGTTAGATCGGTCAAATTACAACCGCTAATAGAAGTTGCGGACAAAATACGTGTAAAAAGCAATGGAGTAGGGGCAGGGGGACGGGCGGAAGGTCCACGTGTTGTCCGTACGTTTTTGGGTGCACATTTGTTATGAGCAGGATGCAACATCCTTTTCCAAGTATATACTTGTGCGTATTTCTATTTTAGAGGTGCATCTATGTACAAGAAAGAGAGTCTTTCGCAGCTAGTCTATTCTCCTCTAACGAATCTTTGTTTCTTGTTCCTCATAGTCCAGTATCTGTTCTAATCATTGTTTCTTTCTCTTCTAACTGCTGTCCCATCCGAATTTCGCGACGATAAAGAGAAATACGTGAGACAAGTGATCAGCGAGCAAATCCCAAGATGCAAGGGGATAGCGGACCACATAGACGTTTTTGTGGATAAAGGGGCTTTTACTTTAGACGAAGGCCGTCGAATACTCGAAGCGGGGAAACAGGCAGGGATGAAGATAATTATGAAGATTTGTATATTTATAATTACAAGAAGGAACAACACACAGTAGAGCTTTTGGTGATGTTGTAGTTTCTGATTCTGTTAGCACCGCTAGAGACTGAGACTTAGTGGAGTTATAGTTTTGCTCTTCTTTCTTAAGGGACATCAATCAACAGGTGAGTGTTGCTTTATTAGAAAAAGCAGCAAGGCGTGTAGTCGAGTACGAGCATTATGTTAGAAGCAAGAGTGAAGCAAAAGACTCAACTCAGGAGTAAGTTTACATTCCATGTCTAATCCTCAAGCCCACGCGGAGCAGATTGAGCACACAGGAGTCGCGAAACTGGTTGCTGACATGGGTGGATTGAGTGCGGATCACTTAGAACGTGTAGACGCCGAAGCAGCATCGGAGATGGCGAAGAAGAACGTAGTGGGCGTCCTCCTTCCTGGTGCACTTAAGGGTTGCCCTATTGCATCCTTCTGAACCATCCTTGGCCTTGTTTTCAAGTGGCCTTGTTTTCAAGTGGAAAACAAGTGGCAAGGATGATTTGAAGAATGCAATAGCGCAGCCTCTAATGCACAGTGGTACTTGAAGGACATTCCGCCACCGGCTCCGATGTTGATTAAGGCCGCTATCTTGATATGGGATGATGAACCCTGAGGGGCCGCTATCAAGGAATTTTAAAGCGACCCCCCTTGATGATTCCCCAGAAGGAAGCTCTAAGTTGAGGGAGCACGGAGTCAAAATGGCTGTATCGACAGATTTGAATCCGGGTTCCAGTCCAGTGTACGACCTGATACAGTGCGCGACTATGTGCTGTGTCATGCAGGGACTGACGCCTGAGGTACTTACTTTTTGGTAAGGGTTCTGATTCAAAGTTGGTCTTGCTTGTTGATGGTCGCTGAGGTTGACAATTTTTACGACGTATCATCTTGATTTTCCACGCACACGTCGTAAGCCCGGTACGTCGGTTTCACGACCAAACTCGAACGTCGTATAGGGTTTCAGACAAGATGATACCGTCGTAAAATTGTAGGGTCATACGCCGTTACGACAAGATTGATCCCTACAATTTATTCGTCGCGAAACCCTACAATTTTATACGTCGGTTCCACGTTTCTCCACGCCCAAACCCTATGATTTTTCACGCACACACAGGAAGCCATTCTCGGTGTCACACGGCATGCTGGTCTCGCACTTGGGGACGACCGTCTTGGTTGGCTGGGTCCGGGCAGTGTCGGTGACGTCGCCATTTTCCGGCCTCCGCCTGGAGAAGCGGCTACGATAGTTAAGGGTTTCCGAGTTGCATTCTTCACTTGCATCCTTGCCCTTTCTTCAAGTGGAAAATGGGTCAAGGATGTTCAGAAGAATATAATGTTGCAACCTCCAAGATAGAGTCCTTGATTCAATTTTCTGGAGGGTATGAGTGTGTCTCTTGCGTTCGTGACGGAAGTTTGTTGTTCAACAGTGGACTTCCGACCTCCTCGTCCGCCGGACTAGGGAAACGCAAGAAAATTAGTAAACAAGCGAGTCTTTAGCATTTTTGAAGGTTTTTTTTCAAAGTTGTGCTAACGAAAGAGATGTGGATTGGAACAACCTCCATTAGGTGTTGTAAAGAGATGGTTACGCATAGTCTCGCGAAGATAGCCTGTAAGACCTGTAAAGAGGGCAACTTGATACAACTAGGTAGTTCTTGCTGCGGTCATGATTTTTCGAGCAGATCTAATGAAGAGAACTTAACGCGCTTGATTTTTTGTGTATGTTGTACAGTTGCTGATACAGAAGATGATTGGACGCAGCCACCCTGTTGCAGATAAGCGCTACACACCCATTCTCGCTATACGCAAAGACAATGTGAGTCCCCTCAGAGAGACGAGGAACTGTATCACTTAAATTTAGGCCGCGACTTAATCTTGGCCTTGAATTGTACCTTCCTTGAGAGATAAGCCTTGAGAACCTTGTGGAGAGGGTTGTGGAGAAAACAAAAAATGGCGGACAAGGTCAAAAAGTGCCCAACCAAAGTGTAGGTATGATGACAATTTCAAGGTGATTACATAGCTCATTGTGCAAAGAGAGAGATCGTTGACTCCTCCCGCTGCAAGAAAAATCGACACTCTAGGTCGGGCGTAGATGAAGAAGTGCGATTTCCTTCGAAGTAGATAGGCTATTAACTTCTAATATCGAAAACCTTTCGGGTATTTTCATTTCCAATATACAGATCCAGAAAAAAATGCTTCTATTCAGTCAATGTCATAACACCGGGTGAGGTCCTCCGGGAGATCTGTTTGCGAGTGCCTACTTGTGCGTATTGCCTGACTGACGCTGCTACACACGGCCGAGTGGAAGTCTTCGTCTTGCGTCCTCCTCGACAAGTATGATGCAATCATAGACTCATGTATCATCATCTTCTCCTGTATTTTATGGCCAGCTTTCATCCATCTTTCTCGGCATCTTGTATTCTCATGAAATACAAGGGAAAAGGGGCGGCCAAGATGAGGGGACCGAGATGCATTCTAGCACGCGCTAAGTATTGAAAAGATGGCGGACAACTCACACGCGCCCAGTGGGGGCACGGAAATGCGTTCCCGGATGGGGTTTTCACCCTCGAAGTTTTCACCAAATGGGATGGGAAGAGAATTGCGTCTGGTGAGGTCACCCACCGGTCAGATGGAGGTGCGGCGTCTCAGTTAAGGGTCGTTTATTCCACTAAATTAGAATCAATGACATTGATATTTTCCCAGACTATCTACTTAAGTATGCCGTGGCAGCCTCTAACTTAGAGGTCCTAAGCCAGACGATCCAGAGTTGGGGCCGCCTGACACACCTGTACCCGATTCGGATCAAGGTCCAGATGGGCGGAATTTTTTGGCGACAATGGCAGATTTGATTTATGGACGTGGAAACTTCCTGCGATGATTCTACTTTATGCTTGCTTCTAGTATAATGTTGAATATGGCTTGAGATCGTTATTCTAGTATGTGATACTAGCTATTGTAGTAGACACTTAATGGAAGTCCTCTACACAGCTTTAACTCTAATCGTCGATTTGCGAATACATCGCAGATGTATGGCTAAGCGGGTTTGAGTGTGAGTGGCCCACTAGGAACACGATTCGGTATTCACTATTCTCGGGGGCCGCGCATCCTACACGCGGTGCCATCGTTACACGATGGTAATTCTCTTTCTCTTTCTCTATTCGCATTCTATTTCTCATTCTCAAGTGCACATTCTCACATTCGCATTCGAAATTCTCTTTCTCCCACCCTCTCCGCCCACGTGTTCGCTGCGACCTGCGTCTAGGTCGCGGCGTCTGCGCCGGCACGAGCCGTTGCTCATTTTTTATTTTTTCTCACTCGCATTCTCGCTTTCACGATTTCGCATTCTCAATCGTTTCGCGTTCCTTTCTCGTCTCCTACTTCCCCTACGCTCACGGCCAGTTTGCCGATCACATTGCACTTTTGCCTCTCTCGTGATACATCATCATTTTCACGACCTTTTTGTGTATATGTGATCTCCTTTTTTGGCATTCTGGCTCGTGGGCTAGTTGGAAGTACTGGTGACCATGGGCAAAGTAAGTTTCACTCAAACTATGTGTTCCTATCATTACCACTCGCGGTCAAAATAGAAATACTGACTTTGAAGAGCAGTCCTCCGCAACCGTATACCTTATTATTGTTGCTTCTACTTAAATCTATTTTGAGTTGTCCTCGTCGGTACACCTCATTACTGTTGCTTCTAATTTCTATCGCAAGGAGCAGGAGGTAGTGGGGCGAATAGGTCGAAACAAGATCATTTGAAGAGGGGGATTGCAGATGCACGAGCTTGGTGGCAGAACAGGAGAACTTAAGGGTTCCCACATTACATCCTTCACTAACATCCCTGACTCTATATTCCACTAGGAAACTAGTCAGGGGCGTTATAAGGAATGCAATTCCGAAACTTCTAAAGAACGATGGTCACTGCTGCTATCCTTTTCTTCCTCTTTTGCTTATGGCTTTAGATGTTGCTGATTTACGCATGAGGTAAGGCGTCCCTGGGGATCTTCATTATATTGGATAAGTAATAGGAAGATTAGCTATTGATTACCAAGCTGAAGATGAGAGGCTTCTAAGATATTGTCAGAGAAGCTTCATCTGTAATTTTGTCAAAACTTCTCACGCACAGTAAAACTACACAATCAATCGATAGACTACTTGTTCTCTACTTTTTTTCATGACAAGATATCAAGGAAATCTTAACTAGTATAACGCTCTAAATGTTTATGTCATACCCCGTACGTAGTGCACTTTTTCCTAAACGACCCTTCTTTCTTCATACCCCGTACTCGTTTCGATGTTTTCTCATCGCGGACCACAGAAGAAGCGGCAGAAGGCCAGAAATGAGCCAGAAAACAGTACTATATCCACCTCTTCTGAAGATACTGGTGATACAACTACAAGTACGACGATTACGAGTATCATGGTGAACCCTTTCACGGTAGTAATCGAGGATCTCAGCAGAGCGATGTGTCCAGTCTTTTTGTTTCTGTTAAGGAGCTCCTTGAAGGCGTTTTTTATAATCTGCCCAAATGTAGTAGTTCACCTTGTCTTTGTCAAATGAGAATTATTTATTACACTTCATCAAAAATGTACTTAGTTGTATTACTCCTAATCCGTGGCTGTTCCGGTAGCTCCATTAGAACTACAGCCTACCGTTGAGATTACAACTACAGGTTAGTAGATTATGTAGTTGTAACCTAACCTCTCCTGCTCCTAATCCGTGGCTGTTCCGGTTGTTGCAAAGGGGGCGGAGGCCCAAAGCCAGAAGCGAGTGCAACTGAGTCTGTGTGGATGCTTGTGCAGGATATAGACGACCTTATCCTGAAGCCAAAAGGGAAGGGTGTGAAGCCGAAGGTTCCTTATAATTACGGCACTGATCAAAGCACAAAAAGAAAAATAGCCGGTTAATTTTTTCCTCATTTCCTAAGTCTATCGCTCCATGCAACATATTGCAACTTCTTCTAGTAATGCCACATGTTGAACAATACCGGAGATGTCACCGTATAGATAGCGCTAACAGGAGGTGTACTACGAGGATGTCGATGATGCCTAGAAGTTAGATCATAGAGGGACATGGAGTGCATAGCTCTAGGAGGAATCTATGTTGATGGACGAAATCACAGGGACATGGAGGAATCTATGCTGATGGAGTGCATTATAGAAGTCTAATCACTTATAACCGCGCCAAATCGTCAAACGGTATTCCGATCAGATGCGAGGACACCTTCGGACTCAAGTTTAGTATTACAAGGGTTTTTTGAGGGGACTCCTGCACGGCTTCGCGACTCAGCAGACTACGAAGCAATCACCCTCATAGTACAGCGTTTGGAGGAAGTGCTGATAGAATCAGCGAGAAGGAAACCTATGATGGTGAAATTTGAACTGTGATTTTTTTAGGATGAAAAATACAGTATTTGTATGTTTTTTAGATTTTATGGACAACAAGATTTTTGTAAGAGAAGGATCTGCAGTAGCCGGGTTGTCTGGTTTTTAAGGGTTTTCAAAAAGCAGAAAGCCCTTGATAAATCATGAGCATGATCTTCAACATCATCATTCTAACTCCCGAGGAAGTAGCGATGAGGATGACGATGACGATGATGTGTTACCAACGATTTTCGCACCAACGTCCTCCGGGAGTGACAGGGGGAGTGACGTAGGAACAGGCGAGGACTTATTGCTATGGAGCGAAGAAGAGAAGATCGACTTGTCACGGTCAACGGCTGAGATGGCATTGCTTTTATTAAGGCTGAAAAGAACCTGTCCCCACGTGATGAATCCCGTGAAAATACAACTGAAGTAGGTGCAAGAACCCGTGGTACTCCTGAGTCCCGTACTTCTGGGTCAAGAAGTATTTTAACGGGATTACTATTACGACTTCACAGGTCAGGTCAATGTCAACTACCCTCAAGGAGTAGCTGAGTGTGACTTGGAGGTTAAGGGAGTATCTCTAATGTTGCTGAAGAAATTCCTGCTCTTTTCGCACTTTTTCAACGCTTTCAAATTTTCTTCACCACATATGGAGAAAAAGCTGCAGAGATGGTGGGTCGCTATGGATGTTTTTCAAGTGCAAGAACAGATAGTCCGAGCTTTCCCGTCAATAGCGCACGTGGAATACCCGAAGTCGTTTTTGGGGTTATGAACAAACATTGTAAGGAAGTGTCAGAACTTGTCTCTACGGAAAAAAAAATAAATACTACGGGTACTAGGAACAGCACCATCAGGGACACACATGACATGATCTAGGAGCCGCAACATCTACCATCTAGGTATCTACTATCTACTATCCACTACCCATCGTACCACAACATTGTATGTGCGGAAGAACATTTGACGCGTCGCCTCTTGTTCAGCTGGTCTTGATACTAAGTCTAGATCAGTCACTCTGAACCTTGATCCTCGTCCCCGTAATGATACTGTGTCTAATCTGCACTTCTTTAGGGGAGGAGAACGACGCTTCCATTACAGATTTGGTCCTAGAGCAGAAGCAATACCTTTCTGGGCTGTCTCCTTCTCGGCTGCGAAGCGTGAAAGACGAAGCTAGAACAAAAATGGACTACTTCACGTCAGACGGACTCTCGAGGCCTACAGATATAAGCGAAGGTATGACTCCTTGTTTTGTGTACTTATATTAAGTCATAAAGAAAAGTAACCGCTTGATTTTCCATCATTATCCTCGGTTAGTCCCTTGCCCTGCAAACAATCCCTTGTTTGGAACGTCCACCATGACCATCAACAAGAGGTGAAGCATCTCGGAGAGTACAACGAACAATGCAGTTTTTCTGAAGAGAGGAAGACAATTTTTGAGAAGCATCTTGGAACAGCTATTTTCTTTCCCCCTATGAGGGAAAAGCATCTAGTTAAGCACTTCTCTTGATTCATTGTCGTGTACATCAGAAAGATTACTTATTTTTTACAAGTAGAAGATGGTAGTTAGACGACTTCAGATTTAGAAGATCAAATCTAATGCCTCCTCTACCAGTCGATCCGAGCAAAGTAGTGCTGCCATGGCGTACTCGCTGGCTTTGCAGGACAAGCGGTCTCAGATGCGAAAGGCGTTCGTGCGAGCGCTGTTGGCGGAAGTCATAGAGACATTTAGAGAGCCCTCGTTTTCGCCTCTATTTCCAGGAGACCAAGTGATCGTGATCAAGAGCCCGAAAGAGGCAGACTGGGAGAAGAAAATTTTATGAGAACTACCCTAGTGAGAGGACTTGGACTACTTAGAATTGATTCACAAAAACATCCTGTGTTTTGTTCCACAACTGACTCCAATTCATCATAGACACAGATTATTCTGCACTCTTCAGACTTTGTTTTGTTCCACAACTGGCTCCAATTCATTCTTGATAAATGAACACTATTCTGTACTCTACAGCAGGTTAGCTTTCCCTCTATTCTTAGGTCTATCCCTTCATGCAAACTATTCGGTACTCTTCAGTATCTCCCAACTCATAAGCACAGACTATTCTGTACTCTTCACTATGTCCTCTAATCTCCACCGAACAACATAGATTATTCTCCTTACCTCTTGCCATAATGATTATCTACTCTACGTCCTTCTTGCCATGATTATATCTCTAATCCCCCAACAACACGACGGCCCTCTTACCCAGTGCGGCTGTGCTGGCATGCAACTGCCGAGTATCTCGAAACTGCCGCTAGGTTTCGTTCCCGATGGATCGAGGGGTGAGGATGTAGAGGAGCACTCTGAGCATTCAGTAGCGGTGGTTAGTTTCTCTTGTATCGTTATGGCTTCATAATTACTCGAAGAAACATCTTCTTCTTCTTCTGTGTCAAGATAATGATCTCGTCTCTACGGTCTTCATGAACAGTAATAGTAGAGGCCACAGCATGCATGGGAGGTCCGTTTGTCGATGGAGAAATACGGGGACCAAGAAGAAGATGATGATGAAGATAGATGCTTTGATGTGGTAGCTCATCTAGATCTAGTACGACTAGCATACAGTTTATAGCGTAGTTCACCAATAATAAGCTTCTTTCCTTTCAATCGATAAGGATCATGATCTATGGTTATGGACAACGATAACAATCAAAGTCTTCTAATAGGATACCCGGACAAGACGACGATACGACTCCAGGGGGATTGGCAGACAAGTTTTTGAACAATCGCACTAGTATGTCTTCCACGTTCGCGTTCAATACGCTGTGCGGGAGAAGAATTCTGGAAGTGACGGGAGGATACTTATGACAACATGGCAACTTAATGAATTTCTCACTATGAAGAACACAAGAAAAAGCAGACGGTTAGTTTTCCCTCATAGTCTAGGTTGATCCCAACAAGCAACTAGTAGATCACTATACAGAGAAGAACTCAAGTTGTACGGCTAGAACTACAACGAAAAGCTGGAATAAGGCCTCTCCATATCACGTCACCGTGTGACGAGATGAAAAGAATCCACAACAAGTGTCTTGTAGCCCTACAACTCTTCTCTAATTTTGGAAGTCCTCAACGTGCTTGGCAATTTCGCCGCTTTACAGAGTCTATCGATAGCGCCAGGGGCACAGGTGGAGCTACGATATGCACGAAGTCCAGAGGAGCAAAGTACGGAGCACAACGACATCTCAAAGGATACAGGTTATGATTGGTAACATTATCACGACAACGCATAGAAAGTAGAACGACATCTCAAAGGATACAGGTTACGACTTGAGTATGACAGAGGCTTTTTACAGGTTATGACTACGTATCACAGATGACAGAGGCTTTTACAGGTTATGACTATGAAGAAAATGTGTGGTGGAACAAGTGCTGTAGGAGAGCCTGTAATGATCATAAGCTAAAAAGTGCTGGACTCGGCAGACGAGGAGCACAAGTTGTAAAGCATAATTCTATATCAATCAAAAAGAGCCTCGACCTTTTGCCAGGCACATCAGTCACTCTGTCAATCAATCACTTAGTCAATCAATCAATCACTGAGTCAATCAGTCACTCAGTCAATCAGTCAATCAGTCAATCAGTCAATCAGTCAATCAGTCAATCAGTCAATCAGTCAATCAGTCAATCAGTCAATCAGTCAATCAGTCAATCAGTCAGTCAATCAGTCATTCAGTCAATCAGTCAACCAGTCAACCAGTCAACCAGTCAATCAGTCAATCAGTCAATCAGTCAATCAGTCAATCAGTCAATCAGTCAATCAGTCAATCAGTCAATCAGTCAGTTACTCAGTCAGTCACTCAGTCAGTCAATCAGTCAGTCAATCAGTCAATCAGTCAATCAGTCAGTCAGTCAGTCAATCAGTCAGTCAATCAGTCAGTCAATCAGTCAGTCAGTCAATCAGCCAGTCAATCAGTCAATCAGTCAGTCAATCAGTCAGTCAATCAGTCAGTCAGTCAGTCAATCAGTCAGTCCCTCAATCAATCAATCAACCAATCAATCAACCAATCAATCAATCCATAGCGCCAGTTCGAATAACTCGACAGCGCGGCTTCTTGTCGGGCGTTGGATTTGGACCAAGGTGGGCTGCAAACCTTAGCGGCGAAGAACAGGGATAGACTACTTCGTCAATTAAGGCCCAACAATACAATTCATTTCTACACGGCTTTTTTTTTTGTAGTTTGCCATGCTTTTCCGAAAGGGAAGAGCTTGATGCATGTTTATCCGCGAAGCTCACTGCTTGCGTTTCTCCCAATTCGTCCTCCCTTAGGGTTCTTGAGAGAAATCGTGCAAGCTGATCTTTCTGTTGATCTTACTCGAGACCCTCACCTTGGTATTCACATCCCTAACAAATTGACTCTGAGCTCTAAGCAAAGAGCATGACCATCCTCAAGGGCCAGGCGTATTCGTTTTTGTCGGCAGAGTATGGTTGCCTTTCCTGTTATTCTACGTGATGGAACCGGTGTTGCTCAGCATCGGAGCAAATTCCTGCGTTTTGAATGATAATAGTTAAGGCACGACTAGTATGTACTAGTATATCACTACCCGCACGACACCAGCGATTAGTGGCCGACTGTACGGTCTTATGCGCCCCCAGTACGTAACTTGGATAATCTTATATAGGTTAATTAATTGATTGAAAGGGTGGTGGCATATAGTCCTAACGCAAAAAAAAAAAAGATTAGTGGGTGCTAGGAACAGTACCGTCAGGAATGCACACATGGCATTAGTTGCTGGACATCGCCATGGAAATCTCAGGCAAGCTGCCGAATATATTCGAGGCAAGAACAGGGCTAGTATCTATATCACTACCACTCTAGTATCTTCGGGGGTTCCGTTGAACTGCGACAGGGACACAAATGTGAGTATCTATATCACTACTCCGAGATAGATACTACCCCATTTGTAGACTCACTATACTGAGTGGACTCCGCTCTCAAGTCTGGTGTCCAGGGGATCTAATCAGGGTAGAGGGAGATGAGAAGTCAAGGGGATTACAAGGGATCATGGAAAGGGAACCCAGTCAATCACGGATAGCGACAAAACTACCTTCTGTCCTCTCCTTTCCTCTCAAAATCACTATTACATCTATCCATCTTCATCCACTATTACATCTACCCACTGTAGTAGCTGGCGAGTCCTGTAATACAGTAATTTGATAGTTGTTGGATAGTTGTAGTTGTCCTTTATTTAACCTACTGATCTCTGTGATAATACTTCGCTCCTCCTTGAACATATACAGCTTGTTGGCGAGCCTTGTTCAGAATACAGGACTTCGTTCCTATCTTTAACACAGACAGCTTTGATCCCTTCAAACAATGGTAGGATAGTTGGATAGTTGTTCTTTGACTACTTATCTGTGTAGTAGTAATATTCTTTCGTTCTTACCTTTAACACAGACAGCTTGTGACGGGGCTGCGGAAATTCGAGTCAGTGGGATATGGGGTTTTACACGAAGTCGCGCAAACAGGGGACATCGAGACAGTTTTCTCGCAAACATTGCAAGAAGGACTGGTGCACCAAGTCAGATTGAAAGTTAAGGAATGGTTGCTGAGTGCTGAATCGGCTAAGGGGTAATTATGATATAGGTGAAATATTAGTTTGCGGCCGTTGGCAAGGCAGTTTGTTGTTGCGTAACTGACAACGATATCCTAAGTGGCGCCATTCATCTAATCGTCATCGTCCTTGTTGTGACTGATAACAAGGATGAACTCGTTCCTCAAGACTATTAACAAACTAAACTGAGAACAAGACTGAACTTCCTCATGTTCTTCTTTTAATCCCTGTTTTACAACCGAAGCGTTTTACGAGAGGTCTTTGCAGCAGGGGCCGCCACACGGTCATCTTTTCCGGCATGGGGGCATTAACAAGGCGACTGAAAAAGAGCATTATCAACATCCGGTTTTCGAGCCAGAACGACTTCGTGAAAAACTCTCAGAACATGTCAAGGAGTTAAGGTCCCTGGCATACTTCAAGAACGCAGTGATGTGCTTTTTTGAATGATTCACGTTGTAAGTGTATGTTAGTTGTACCTTGTTGATTCGAAGACAGTATGTTGTTAAGAGCATGAGCGTTGTTCTGCTTTTGAAGAAAATTCTGAAGCCTTCAATAGGGTCGCATGATGAATTATTTCCAGAGGAAAAATAAGTACGTGCGGGTATTTCTTTGATGCTCCTCCTCATTATTTTTGGTTCCTATTTTCCAGTTCATCATTCCGATTCGCATCTTGCAGAAATATTCAAGGACTACTCAGGGGTTCCTCCTTCATGGAACATCTGACTCCTATTCTAATACCCACCTTCCTTGACCAAATGGAGAGGCGAACGCGATCTGTGAGCAGAGTTTTGAAGGGAATACCAGAAGCAGACAACTTTTTCCGCACTTTGAGTCTCATAGCGCGAAGCAAGCAATTTCATACCTTGCAGTTAAGGCGACTTAGGCAGACTGCCGAATAGATTCACATGATCACCACGGCCACTTAATGAAAGCATTCATTTTTGCATCCTCTAACAGCTTGAAGATCGCATTTCAGGATATCCTCCACTATAATGTAAGCATTGTTGTCATCTTTTATTCTTGTCATGATCTTTTGCAGTAGGAAAGAAGTGAAAGAAGAAGAACTCAGTAGTTCTGAAGAAAGCACCAATGTAGTCGAAACGACTTCTAATACGCCTTGCCTTGGGGCAACCTCAGAGTGCGGACAAATTTCCTCAGGTTTTGGCGTACTCCAACTTCCACCTTTCCACGTTCTACTGGTCATACGGTTTGCAAAAAATATTTTCGCCAGAACAGCAGAGACATTATGTTTTCGAAAAAGTTGAAAATAGACTCGAAGTAAGAAAGTACTTGCTGTAGTAGAAGTTGTTATAGATGCAGAAGTGAAAAAGTGTCATCTGGTGTTCTACAGAAGTCAACTCTTTTTTTGTCTAAAGTCTACCTGATTAGAGGCTGTAGTAGAAGTTGTTGCAGAGGTCGTGTTGTTGTGGTATCTTGTTGACCACAAAGAAAGGTCCGCCGTTACTCAGTAATCTTATTTTTGATATAGTGAATGTCAGAAAAGAGTCAGTGTAACTCGTAGTAGAAGTTGTTGTAAATAAAATCACTGAAGCGGGGTTATTGTGGGCGACGTTGGATCAGTTTTTGCTAGCATACCCTGCTGAAACGTGGTTCGGTTGTAATTGAATTTTGAGCGTTTCGTGGCGATTCGTGGTTCCATTGTCATTGAGTAGCAAAGCCTTCGTCAGAAATGAATTTGAATAAAAAGTAAATAAAACCAAAAATTCTTGGATATGACCATTTGAAATCTATTTGAAATGGTCATATCCAAGAATTTTCAGTTTTATCTACTTTTTATTCAAATTCATTTCTGCTGAGGCCTTTGCGTCAGCATTGATGTTCATCACTCAAGTTTTGAGATTGATGACCAAAACTTGCGTTGTTGATCTGTAGTAGAGGCATGATAGATGCGTAGTAGTTCAGTATCACTTTTCTAATGCATGTAGATGCTAAAGATTGCTGATAGTTGAGATTTAGATGAGAAATTTTAGAAAAGTTTAGGATTGGAAAACTTTTGAGGTTGAAAGAAGTTCTAAGATATGAGTAGTTCTATCATTCTCTCACTGCAGGTGCTTACAGACTCTTCACAATACGGGCCTAAACAGCAGGACATATTGTTATCGACGTTCAGTTTCAACATTTTAGGTTCTCGAATATTCTGAGTGTAACATTTCTTCTGGGGCACACTTGGTTGTTATGTCGGACTGAAGATCATTGGCACATGTTCCGAACTACCCAGGTACTTAGTTCACCTTAGCTCCACTAGTACAGAATTTTCGCTCAACAGAACTTTGAAAAGCGCATCCTCGTGGTATCCTTCTACAGGTAGTTAGTCCATCGTACCTCCTTCTGTTTGAGAATCCTCTTCTTTGAGAATCCTCTTCACCTCCTTATAGCTCCTTCTGTCCCGGTATCGTTCTACCTTATCTCCCTCCTTCTAACAATAAGAACACCATGAGGAATGGATAAGGGAGTGGAGTACGAAATTCTATGGCGACGGACGGCATGTTCTGTCGATTCACTCTGACATAGAGTTAAGGCTTCCCCTAATGATCCATCCCTCTAGGGATCCTCCAAGCGTCTTAGGGATCCCCCAAGCGTATGCGCTCCAGTACGAGGGGAATAGTGACGCACACGCTTGAGGGATTTCTACGGGCATGAATTCGGGTGAGGTCTAAGAGAGGGCGAAGGTCTACGTTTCGGCATGTGCAAGGCCTTTGATACAAAGGCAACCTGGATCAAGTACCTCAAGTTAAGGGTGCTGAATACAATTCTTCATTCCCACGACAGGTTCTGCCTCTTACTTTCCTTCTGACCCGTTTCTGTACTGAGAAAATGAACCCTAATCAGAGAGACAGTATATTGAGTCCGCGAATGAATCCTAATCAGTATATTCTTTTGAACTCTAATCAGAGAGAGGCTAAGGCACCAAAGAGCGATCAGTGGGGAAGGAGGCAGTGATGGTGGTGGGGAGAAGTGAGAACTCCTTACACGAGATTCATTGATGTGTTTCGGTTTGTGTGTTTTGATAAGTGAGAGTGAGACAGACACCGCTTGTGACTGAGACCACAGCAATATAGGAATAGACAGCAATCTAGGGATAGACAGCAATATAGCATATTCTTATTCAATACTAGACACGTCAATTTGAAGATCCAAGATTCGCGTTACAATATAACAAGATTTTCGCTGTATACCATGTTAGAAATTTGATTGACCACTATACGCTGAAGACTGACATTGTTGTTGCCGGCGAGAAGATTTATTATTACACAGCCGGTTCGTTTTTACCTCTAGCGTTTAGCCCTTCCAAACAAATTATTACAGTGTTGTGAAGGTGAACCTTGAACCTTATGACACGACCGCGACCCTACGACCGCGAGGACGAAGACGGTACGCATGTACCCAGTCTGTTGGGAGATCAACAACTGCGAAGAAGCTATGTGGGTAACAATTAATTGCATAGAAATTACAAGAGGTACCTAAACGGTGTCAACCGGACCTTTCACAGGTTGAGCCATGTGTCCATCCGAAATGTACGGTACTGGAATCATTTACTTCAACATCACTGCAAGAAAAGAGAGAGAGAGATCCTCATTGTTGCAGTGCTCCTGGAGACATGATGAGTGTCCCCAGATTCGTGGAGATGAACACCACGAGTTTTATCTTTTCTGATTTCCCGAACCCGAAGGAAGAGGAACTTAAACATGATGAGTATTCCTATGATGAAACATAATGACCCGCCTCACTCTGTCGTTCTTGCGCGTGAACACTACATCAACTGTAGTACTAGTATTTGGATGCCGACGGATACCGATAATATGGAGATGTCTTCTCTTACTACGACTATTATTGCTGGTGGTTCCAAACCTCCTAAGCATAGGGGTTGCGGCTGTTCAAGATATAGAAGAAGGCGGCCACCAGGTAGACGGCGGAGCAAGAATTAAGGCTTACCCTTATCCATCTTCTGAGGCATCCTGAAGAGGCTGATCCAAGGAAAAAAGCTCCCAGGATGCGTCTCAAGATGGATAAGGGTGAGGTCTAAAGGAAGTCAGACGGGGAGTCTAGAGGCTGATCTATTACAAGGTTTGGACGAATTTTTTCCTGTACGCATGATCGACGCAAATGATGAAAACACAAGCACTAGCCCTCTTGACGACCGAGGCCCTCTTAGAACTAGGAGTAAGGCACCTCCAATTCCACCTTCCATGTATGACCGCTATTTTGAACGCAATGCTAATGGAAACTGTAGTACGAGTTGGCTGTGGGACAACAGTATCATTTCTTCGAGGGTTGGGTTTCATGGCCTGTTTTGGTACCTGCAGAATTGGTGTCCTAAACCTGAGGATTATGCGATGGGCGTTGTAGAGGATAAACCAATACGATTTCGGGAAATTTTCGTGCCGAAGGAAGAAGTGGATCCGAGTAAGACTGCTGTTGATGTTGAGGCGACAAGTACAACTGGTGTTGCTGATGCGAAGGCAAGCGATCATACAGGGGGAGATCAGGCTGGCGCTCCCTCTGGTGCTGCTGTCACAGTTGAGCATGATGGCTCACAAGAACAAGACTCCAAACGTGTACACCAGACAACTCGAATACTAGAGTCCGCTCTCCCCGTCGACGATCTTCTTCTGAGTCAATACCGATCCGCCTATCAAGAGGCAAAAGAAAGCGTCCACGGTGATACCAGTCTCTTTTGCGGAGTGATGCCCTCTTGTGAGCCAGGAAGCTGTTTGCGTCAACGTGGGGAAGACTATGAAGGCATCTTGGGGATTGGCGGTGCTTCAGCCTTCGATTACACCATGCCAGAGCGGTTTGAGAAGGTGCTGGAACTGTGCACAGTGCCGATGGAAGGGGTGTTGTTGCCAGGGAGTCGCGGCACTGCAGTAACCTCCACTAGCGGAACTTTGTCGACAACAACTACTGTTCCTTCATCAACTACTTCTACAGATTCAGATAGTGCTAGTGGCTCTTCGGACGGCAGTACTACACCTATTAAGGGTCGGTTAAAGGTGTTGCCGTCACTCACCGTTTGTTTTCACTCCCCTAAGGGAGAAAGGCAGAACAAACGGGAAACAGAAACACCAAAATATCTTCCGACCTCTAAATCTACAAGTAACGACGAACCTCCAACTCAAGCTCGTTGGTACGTAACCCACTCTCCCATGGACGTAATCGAAAAACTTGGAGCTTTGTCGAATCTCAAAGTGTACGGTGGGTACAACGGGTATAGTTTGGAATACATGTCGTATCCCTTAGAGCGGATACTGAACCAGCACTATGAAAGGCGGTTTCCGGATAGAGTGTGGTGGAACCGAGGCTACGAGTGTTTCTTAGTGTTTGGCAGTGACCGAATGCCGAAAAATGTAGTAAAACTGAACGTGCCTGAAATATTCCTGACAAAAGAGGCGACGCGAGAAAGCATTGTGGGAACAAGCGCTGATGTGAGAGTGGAGAATAGTGCAGCATATAGTGCTACAGGAGTTGGACGGGGAGGAGGAGATGAAACTAGTAGTGCAGCTGTAGTATCGACAGACGAGCAGAGCAGGAGCATGAAGAACCCATTCTATGACACAACTGCTAAATCTGCAGCAAATTTCTTGTCCCTACTCCTCCGTGAGCGTGTAATTGGCACTCCGGCTAGAGACTCCTCAAACATTTGGTTTCGGCGTCCTAGGCCAGGAAGTGATCCACCTTTTGTCTCTGTTTTACCTGGTATCCCACAAAACGAAAGTTCAGTCGAATTTTACCATCACACACAATGGAGGACTGTCTTTGCAGATAAAGTACGAGAGGAGCAAAGGAGGACAGCGGAGATAGAGGGTGGAGGGGTAGTTGCAACAACACGCACAACAGACGCCGAGGTAGCTCTACAACCAGACAAAAGTCCTCTACCTCAGGAAGACGAAGGTGACGAACCTGCTAGTAGTAGTCCTACTACGACACAGGAGGAAAGAGATAGCGAGGACAGGAATGCCAGTAAAAGTAAAGCTTACGATAGCAACGGCGTCTTTGTGGTGAATGCGCCTAAAGTGTTTTCCGATACGATTGCGATTCTGGCCAGTGAATGGCAGAATATCTCGCACTTCACGCGTCTGGTGATCTGGTTGTTTGAGCTTTTTACCGCAGACTGGTTCCGCTATTGGATCGAGAAAGAAAATCTTAGACCCTTCGTTCTGCCTACGAAATTTTTGCAAGACTTTGCAAGCCTTCTGCCTCACAACAAATTCCTTCTGGATGTTCTGTTTAAGCACTTGACGATGCCCCGTGACGTCGAAGCAGAGCCAGAGGTAGAACAAGGAGCGAAGGATACTAAAGGAAGACTACAAGAAGAGCAGCTTCAAGTTCAAGTAGATTCTCAACAACTTCCTCCCTTCTACGATGGTATAGAATTTTGCATGTATTTGGACGAGCCTTTATTCATGGACCACCATAGCCATTTAGATGCGGAGTGGATGGCAGAGACGTTGAAGGGCAGACACTGCACGGATTGGAAGTATGATCCACTGCCTCAGGAGTCTACGCAAAATGCAGAAGCACACGCAGACGCAGACTCCTCTTCTCAAACCACGCACCATAAAGACTCTACCGAGGCTGAGGATGAGAAGGATGATAGCGATGAGAAGGACGAGGGCGGCTGGGCTGGCACAGCCCTGAGTGCATCGATGTACAGGACCGACGTGATGAATGGCTATTTGATAGACGGGTACGATTATCGGTTGCCTGAGGGTGCAGTTGAAGCAACAGGGATCACTTACCGGGAAATAGGGACTGGCGACGTGAGGAGAGTAGAAGATGTTGAAGAAATCGGTGCAACTGCTTCAAGATCCTTGGATGTTGAAGAAGCAAAAGGACAACAGCCCCAGCAAAGACGCAAAACGAAGATGAAGATCAAGTTCTTGGCTGCCGCTTTGACAACCATCCAAGAGATAGGGTATCCTAGTTTCGCGATTCAGCGCGCCCACGATGGAATCAGTAGTCCCGAAGCCTTGAGTCGTTTTCGCAAGTTGGTGTGGAACGAGTGTGGGATTGCTGGAGGTGAAGATGAGACTAGAAGAAGTGATAGAAATAAGCGCCTCACAGTCCTCTTCATGGAAAAGGACGGCCATAACCGGCAGATAAAGAATTTGCGTACTCTAGTTTCCCGTTTCCGGGAAAAATATGGTGCCGAGCGTTTTCGATTTCGCCGTGTCCGCATGTCGAAATTGACTCCGTGTGAACAGATTCGAGCGATGCATGACGCTTTCGTGGTGATAGCAATGCATGGGGCAGACATCACGAACACCATTTTCATGAGACCGAATCTTTCTTACGTCATGGAAATATCTCTTGCTGACGGAGCACCGGTGACAAATGATGCTGGCGATGTCCAAAGAGGTACTGAACGTTGGCGGTGCGACAGCGTGAAAGGGATGATGTACTTATGGCAAGAAAGATAGATGTTAAACTTTTAAGTTTTCACAGGTCTATCGGAAATGATTATCGTACAAGCCTAAACGACATTTCAGTGTGTCTTCTAAGCAATCAAGAAATGGAACCTTGGGTGTTCCAGACGAACCAAGGTAGTATCAGTATGTCGTGGGACCGGACACAACGTTCTTATGCTTACAAAGAGGTTCTGCAAAGACGTAAGCGTGGCGGCATGGGTGATATTGTTTGCAAACGCATAGGCAATGACACCATCGCGACAATGTATTGGGACGAAGGAGGTGGGGAAAACAACGGTGAGTACAAAGGACTAGAGAATACTAGGACCAACGATAACCCGTCAGTCTCGCACAGTCAAAATAATTCAATCGCGGAGGACGAGGCTACGTTTTACGATGAAGCCACGCTGTACGACGATAGTAATGTGATGAGTGTCTTTGCATCTAGTGCGGGTTCATTAGCTGGGGAACGCGAGATGAATATTAGAACATCAAAACTAGAAGTAGACGACCGCACGGGCGATCGTCACCACCCATGTAGGGCTACCAAATTGCATCCCGGACTACCATCCTTCACCTCTTTTCCAGTGGGAAAAGAGTCAGGGATGATCTGAGGAATGTATTTTTGCAACCTCTAACCACAATACTAGATCAGGAGACTTACTCCCTTCTCGGCGTTCTATGGGTTACTACAGCGATTTTCTTCGCAAAGCGGGTATTACCTACGACAACCTGCAGATCGGAGTAGACGACCTTCCTTTAGTTATGGGTACTGGTATCAACTCTTCATCTCTTACACAATCTTTTAGCCAGTACTTGATTGAAATGAGCCGAAAGATGGGTTCTTGTCCGTACCTCTAATTTAGACAATCCCTATGACGACTTTGGAGAAGAGCGGTTTCGAGGTCTTTTTTTGACAGAGGAATTTACGAAAAGACTCGCTTTAGGAAGAGATCGAAACCTGACGGTGCGGTTCGAAGCGGTGGATGAATTGCTAGAGCCGAGGATGCGATGGGGTTTGGAATATATGTAAGGCTACGAAAATAAATGCATGCACTCTGTAGACAAAGCTAGATGCAGTGGTAACCTTCACTCGATTTTTTGAACGACGACCACCTTTTTTCAAAATCCTAAAGTGTATAGTAACTGAACTACACACTCACACAAAACAAATGATTCTTGACACACGACTGAACGCATTGATGATTTCCCTTACACGAGGACGAACTGCAACTCGTTCTTATCTTTTATCCTTTTGAAAAATACAAAGCCGTGAGGTGGTGGTGAAAAGCAAAATTCTTCTACTAAGCTTAGTATGGCAGTGGAAGACCAAGTTTTAAATTCTATCTCTCAACAGAACGAAAACCTTGAAGCAACATCTGTCGAGAAGACATCAAATATCTGTCTGAGTGAGTCATCCTTGTTCTCTGTAAAATGGCAAAATGGTCGTGCGTGCAAAAGGGAGAAGAGAGTAGTGATTGTGATGAAAAAGTCTGTGATACCTGAGTGACGTAATCTTTACTTGAGAATCTGTCTTTATAATGAGAGTAATCAATGTAGTGGAGCAGAATCTTTTGTGAATCAGGCTTGAGAGCACGATCATGGTTGAGCCGCATTGTATCGGTTCGCAAGCAATTAGTCTGTCTGTGTTTTCGGAGAGGGACTTTTTGAAGGGTTTGTGTAAGCGAAAAAATTGTTGTCTTCGAAACCTCCAATCATTTAACAGCTTTTATCGGCTTGATTTTCTAACTCAAAAATCGATTGCTTTTATTCGACTTAGCCACCCCTCAACTTGACATTATTCCTTACCCTTTACTTCTCAGTCAACAAAGCGTGTATTCTTCCATTCCCTCCTATTCTTCTTGGAACTTTTCTATAATCCCCATATTCTTATAGTATAATGATTATTTACGTAGTAGTAATATATTACAGTATGAAGTAAATTTTCTCTTCACAACTTAGAATTAGATACCAAAGTCTTCGTTCCTGAAAAGATGAGTGCTTCTTCGACGACTGGAACAAGTAGTTCGAGTGCCCTCGTGGCAGCCACTACGTCCCCAGCGGAACATCGCCGAAAAATGGATGAGCGGCTGATTACCACCCTCTTCTACCTACTCGACGCTTCCCAGGATGGTTCTCTTTCCCCGTCTGAGTGCTTGGATGTGCTCAAGGAACTAGCTGTCACGGTATTAGGCAGTACTCTCTCCGATGCGGAATTGGGTGAAGCCTTCCTCGAATGTGCGGGCTCAGATGCCAAAATCGACTTAAATGAGTTCCAGAACCACCTATACTTGATGCGGGAGTCTGCGCCGAACCCAAAGCGCTTTCGCGAGGTTCTGGTGCATATTTTTAAGCGTAAATGCTTCGAGCGCAATATTTGGGTGAAAGTGCCAGCCTTTGGCCCAGAAGCCTTTAGAAGTGGGCAGTTTGGTGGAATGGGAGAAAGTGTCCTAGCAGGAGGAAACAAAGATCTACAGCATCCGAACCAACTGGTTGGTCCCGGCTGTTCGCACTACTGGTACAACACGGTTACGCGTAATTCTACGCCGATTGGGTGGCCAAGACAGCCTGCGGACCACGTGGAACACATTGAAGTTCCGTACGTCATCGTCCCGATCCATCAAGTGGAAGGGTACAGAAATTTTCCGAACGACTTACGCGCTTCGCCCTTGGCCTTGCCCACGACGTTGCGGACAGCAGGGATTGAAAAAGCCGATGTCTCGCATTTGGCAGGTGGATGGACACTGAAAGACGTGCTGATGGTGAGAGAAGGAAGCGCTAGTACTGGGCCTCAGAAATGGACCAACAACAGTTGGGACGTTGTCGTCACGAGAGAAGGCAGTTTCTGTATCTCCGAATCCCGATTTTCCGAGCCAAGAGCTCAAGATCGCATGCAATTTTGTTTGCCCAATGACGTGATTCCAGTGCTGCATTTCAAGAATCAGTATCGTCGTTGCTGGAAACTCGACATGCGAACCTGGAACGGTTTTGAATTGGGTCCTTTCGTTCCCGTTGTCTCGGAATTGCGCAATCAAGAAGCTTTCGGACCGGGGCATGACGCTACTACGGCAACTGCGGTCATGGATCGTGCCAGTGGCGCTCAGTCTGCTCAAACCGTTTCTGAGGAGATGCCTACTTTTTTCCTAGCTCGCGAGAATTGGGCCTACCCAAAAGATGGCTGGGACCATGAGTGGCTGACTGAAGGTCGCAGAAAAGAGTACATCGGCATCGTGACAGAAGTCGATCGCCAAGAACGGCAGCGCCGATCTGCTTACCCATTCACCGCATTTGACGGGCCTTGGAAGCTGTTCCAGTACGAGCCTTGGTACAACGAAGTGGAGATGGAGAAACAGGTGCAAACTTTGAGCGCCAACGTGGCTTCGGCATTGGGGTCTGCGTCTTTGCGTGCTGGTGGGGGTCCAGGAGTGGATTTGGAGGACCAAGGCCCTGAAGAAGAAGCCGAAGGAGAGCAGCGTGGCCATGTCTTGAAAGTGCGTATTAACAACGGCACGGCCCAGGGAAGTGAGCTTGGGAAATTTGAACTGGAAGCTTTGGAAGCAGCGGGAAATGCTGGACAGACGTATCCAGTCGAAATCCGCGAACCAAGTCGCAGCTGTCCGTACGTGCATATCAAGATTCCTTGGGCGAGGGAAGTTTTGAAGGAGACGGGTGAATTTCCAATTTGTCGTTTAGAAGATGGCACAGACTGGAAGAAAGTCGAGAACAATTGGGAAGACTTTACGCAATTGCGATTTGTACCTTTTGGGTTTACACCGAAGGACGGGTTGTGCGGCCCAGATGGTATTGTTCTAGAACGTCAACACGATGTGACACGCTATGACGGGTTTTATCGATGCAGTGCCTTGGATCGCCGGGATAAGTTGTTGTATCCGGCTTTCAATGTGAATATCGAGAATGGGGAGTTCTTCTTCGCTTCCCAAGTTTCGGAGTCTGAACAATGCTTGCTAGATGACGATGACGGCAACGTGTTCTTCAACTTCGAGAACGAACAGCGCGCTCGCCAAGCGGGTGCTGGAGGTGGAGAGCCGATCCGCTACATCATCGAGGAAGATGACGAATTCGAAGTCAAGTTTGATTTGGACAGAAGCACGGCGCCTGAAGACTACGTCGGACCGAGCGGCTTTTTGTTTGAGAAATTGGTGCCGTACACCGCTTTGGATGGTCGTTACAAGGTGTTGTGCAAAATCGAATCGGAAATGATGCATACGGATCGCGACGTGGTTGTCAAAAACGGCCTTTTTTCTCTGCGCTTCGTAGATCAAGGCACTCTGAAGGTGACGCATATTCAGAGTGGATTCGAGACGCAGAAGCCACTGTTGACTGCGCGTGAAGCTGAGATGAGACGTGATGGCAGTGGACAGGAAGATCTGCTGGAGACAACCGGGACTGTAGTTGGAAACGCTAAAACTGCGGACGGTGTTTCTAAGAAGAGTACGGCACCAGACAAGGTCTCTTTTTGTTTCGTTCCAGGTGATCCTAATTCGAACATGGTGATGCGACCCGATGCGGATGACGATGACTGCTTCCAGTTTGTGCATGCCAGTAATCAGTCGATCATGCTGATGTTCTACCGCTTAGGCGGAGGCGGGCGCGAACAGAGGCAACTGATGGATCGCGAGGACGTCAAAGCCCTGATCGGCAGTCTCAAGGGACGCTACGTGATGAAAATCTTCCCAGAAAACGAACAAGAAGATGGTCAAGATGAAACTGAGAATGGCAAAGTGAACGGAGCTTTTGCTGTCCCTTCTAAGTCTGATTGGGACGATGACGGTGTCATTGTCGAAGAAGAGTGTCATTGTCGAATCCAGAGTAATGTCGAACGCATTAACATTGATGACGACGATGATGATATTAATATGCCTTCTGTTGCAACAGCTGGTCCTCGTGGAGTCAACTTTGCTCCAGTCGTGGAGGCCGACGATGACAGTGATGATCAAAGTTCCGCCATGGTTGCCGTGTCATCTTCGCAGAAGAAAGGTGCCCGTCGCGCCAAAAGTTTCGATCGTGTGCGTTCTCTGTGTTTTATCGACCCGCGTGGTCAGAGTCCCGAATTCGACTACGCTGGAGAACAAATCTCTTTAGTTGTCAACGTGGATGCGCACGGTGGCTTGGAACTCAATTTCCCGCATGAAAAACCTCTTCGTGGTGTCAAATTCTATCCTCCCGGAGCGCACAATTTGCCGAATTTTCACTTCATGGTGCCTCCTTGGGACGGGTGTGCTTTGATGCTCCCGGAAGAGATGAAATGCGAGTCCCTTGCTGAGGTGTTGGCGGATCGGGAACGCAGTGCAGTGATTCCTTGGGTTTTGAGGCAGATCGGGAACAGCAGCACAAACGGCGCAGCGCCCAACAGCCGTATGGTTGCGACGTTGGCGAAGTCTCAGATATGGTGGGATCGCCGCTTTCACGTGGGCGCATTCGATGGTCGCTGGTTGTTGAAGCTGTACGTGCCGATCCAAGCGGGTGAGGAACTAAGTTCAGATGCGGAAAGAGAACTACAATTCCGAAAAGAGCTGCTGGGACTGGGGAAAATGAACGAACCTGTTGAGGAACAAAAAGAAAGTACAAGTGATGATCAAAAGATGAAAAGTACTTCTACTGCTACCACTAATGCTAAGGGCAAAGAGCAAGGGCAAGCATCGGCGACCAAAGGAGGTAGTGGAAACAATAATAAAACTTCTACCTCTAAAGAAAAAGATGGCGGTGGTGGTGCAGCCTCTAAGACTACTGGCAAGAAGAAGAACCAAGACCAAAATTCTACAGCTGCCATTGAGGACACCAGCACTAAGGCCTTGGAAAAGACGGACTTAGAACTTTCTGTGGAAAGTATGGTGCTAGAAACTCGCGTCATCATTGAAGAAGGGGAATTGAGTTTCAATTTGCGTGAAATGAAGGTGCAAGGAGGCGGACGACTGGAGAATTCTGTTGCTCTGCGTCGTCGCAATGACCGCTTTGACAGTTTCTACTTCGAACTGAAAAACCACATCTTGCGCCAAGTCGTTCAGCGTCTTCGTCCGAACTCGAAAGCGTTTGAGAAGCCAGAACTCTCTCCTGCTGACGCTCAAGACGCGTTGATCAAAGCACAGTCTGGTCCTCAAACTGCCGCAGACAAAGCTAGGACTCCTGCTTCGAACAATGTCGCTGTGGCTCTGTCGGATAAGTCACTCACCGTCGAGGAACTGCTCAAAGACGAAACTGCTTTCGTTTTGAATTCCGATTTTCTAGATTTCGAACAGCCTGTTGAACCGCAGATCGCTGCTCGTTGCAAAGAATTTCGGCGTCCGCTTGAATTCCGCATGCACCGCCGCATCGACGGCCAGCGCAGTGTCTTAACTGATCCTAACCTTTTGGACCAGATGGAGGCGACCGAACTAGCTGCTCTAGAGGACAAGGAATTCCAAAAGTACGAAACCAGGTTGGAAATGTTGATGCTGCAGGATTTGACTCCCAGTCTGTTCGATGGGTTGTGGATTTTGCGTGCGGAGATTCAGAACGGAGAAAGAGTGCAAATGCGCGTAAATATCGCTCATGGCGAGTGGGAGATGCCTTGCAACATGGAACTATTGGCTATTGCGAATGAGAAAGCGGCAAATCAAGGAACACCAACCAAAAAAGGAGGCTCCTCTCCTCTGCAGTTGTCACCCTCTTCTGCAGGAGCAAATCATGGCGCAAATAATGCAGTTCTTGCAAACACCAGGAAAGGCAGTATGATCAGAGGAACAAGTACAAATAAAGGGCCTTCTTCATCCTCTCGGAGTCGTCGATCTCTAGAGCCTGAGATGCGCCAAGTGCGCATCCGTCTTCCTAAACAGCCTGGCTCCTCGAGTTTCAGTGGCTCTGGTGATTCGATTGCGCGTGGACGCGGCTCGACCCAATACCCTTGGTTCGAGTGGCCTGATTTTTTCGCCGGAGATCGCAACTGTGGTTTCCACCTAGTTCCGCGAGAACAACGCCGTTATCTACCCAAAGACAGCCAAAACCTCGACCAGTGGGAGTTGAATCCTGGCGCCTTGAAGGACTTGAGACGGATGTCTTGGAGTCTTCTTTCGCCTTTGAGTCGAGTTCAGTCGGACGAATTGGGACACGGCAAAGTAATGATGGATCGGGCCAAGCCGGTCAATATCTTTGACGGCATGTGGACCTGCACTCTGGTGCGTGGAAAGAACACTGCAGCCCGCGAATTAGAGGCGTTGACGACGGACGCAGACGAAGGAGCGGCTAGCAGTACAACAGATGGATCGGCGAGTGGGAAAAAGAAAAGTGCTAATGGTGCTGCTGGGGGTGATCATCAAAATGCGAATGCTTCTGTTAGTCTTAAGGGAACAACACCAGGAGCTGGAGCTCCTGCTGCGGAAAAGGATAGGACAGAGGCTAAAAGTGGTGATAACAAGGATACAACTGCGAGAACCTCATCAAAAGAAGGTAATAAGTCTTCAAAGGATGCTGGCAAGCCTCCCGTCGCCGCTTATAAGCAAAAACGCACTGCCATCTTAGCTCAACAGCAATCCTCTACTAAGGGTGACTTGGCTGCAGACATCCTGGACCCTGAAGAGGATCCTGAGAATGTCCGTGAAGTTATAACGGTTGCTCGTGGTTGCTTTCCTATGAGCCAAATTCGTCATCTACGTCCCGATGGTCAGTGGTGTGAGTGGCTCCTACGGGCTCCAGGAACCGGACGCGAGAAACCAGACCCGATGCCTAAGGAGTTCTACTTGGAGGCTCCAGATTGGACCAAATTCACTTTGTGCGAAGAAGAATCTGACTCTTTGACCAAGCTGAAAAAAGCTCAATCCGATCCAACGTGTAAGAAAATCGTGTGGAAGAATCAAGCGCAGTTCAGACCGCCAGTCGATTCGCAGTATTTGCGGCATTCCATGTTCACAGATCTGGAGAAGATCATTTGGCGTCGCGTGGATGTGATTCAAGAGTTAGACGGCAGATGGCAGTTTGAGCTTGGGACTATGCAGGAAGTTTCAGAAAGCGGAAACCGAGTGCTGGAATTTGTAGCAGACGATCCTGAGGAAGCCTTGTGTGTCGCTAGCGAAACCGAGTCCGAGCCTGAGTTCTCCTTTCAGGTCAGCGCAAAACCGAAGATACGTGCATTGGGAGCTGTGATTTCGGCAGGAAAGAACGCGGAAAAGAAAAGGTCGAAACAACGTTCTTCTTCGAAGTCGGGTTCATCTGCTCATGGGGGCCAAGGTCAACGAGAAGAGACAGCAGCATTGCCCTCAGATCCTTCTTTTGAGACGAACAAATACCGTCGGAAACTGATACAAACTACAACGGAAACTGTCTTGACGGTCAAATCTGCTGTTGTCATGGTCAACAACCAGCCTGCTAGTGTGCTCGAAAGAGACGCGAAGAACGATGGCTGTCCTCGGTTCCCGCAGACGTTGGAAGAGCGTGGCAACTTTTTCATTCTCGAGTCTCCCGATTACAATCTAGTCAAAGCCGGTGGGTACGGCCTAAAAAGCTTGCAGGAGTTGCGGTTTCGTGTCCAATTTCCGCGTACAGAAGAGGAACGCCGGATTCGGATGCGTTGGGTGAGGGAGCCGGAACCCGATGCCAAGGTGCGCCGACTGCTTAAGGGACTAGTTGGCAAGTGGGTCTTGGAAGTGTATGCAGAGCACGAGTCGGACAGCCCAGAGAGCTATATGAACGTCACAGTGGAGGCGGATGGCACGTTTCGAGTAGAAGGGGAGATCTATCGCTACAGACTGAAGGGCCCGAACAAACAGCATAGTACTCTGCATTTCGATTTGCCGCAAAGACCTATGGTTCGTACCAAGGAGGAAGAGACGCCTTCTCTAGATAGCGAGAGCACTGCCTTGGATAAGTCCAATGACGGAGCAGGAGAAAACTCGCCTGTAACAAGTCCAAGCAATGGTGCCAATGCCAATGATATTACAACTAAGCAAACAGCTGCATTGATGAAAGGTGGCACTGGTTCTTCGCCCCGTGCTTCTCCGCGTCGCTCTGGAAGTGGGATGATGGGAAACACGACTCGCAAGCGCGTCGCCAAGGAGCTTGCAGCCAGACAACAAGCTCTGCAAGAGGCATCGCACAGTGCTCCGCGTAAACAATCCGCGATGTTGCTAAAGTCAAGCTGCCAAGCAGGCGACGACCGCATGATCTTCCAACTCTGTAGAGGAGGTGTAGGACCTTGGCAATTGCACTTCGTGAAGGCCTCTCCATGGTCGATCTTAGGTATGACGCCGGGAGAGAAGGTGAGTGGAGCGGATGGAAAGAAACGCGCAGAACTAGCAGCGTTTGATGGGGTTTATCGCATGCTCTACACAGGACACGTGAAGAAAACTATTGCTGTTACAACCACAACGTCCTCAACAGGTGAAGTTGCTGCTTCACCTGCAGCCCAGGGTCGCGAACAGGACGCCGTATCTGGTGTTAGCACGATTGCTGCTGTAAGCAGTACAACAAGTACGGGGAATTTGTCTAGTGCTAGTGCTACTGCTGTCTCAACGATTGACGTTCCCCAAGCCGAGAGCTTCCCAGTCACGTGTGAGCGTGGTAGCTTTGTCCTGCCAACAGGCGAGGTAGCGCGGTTGGAAGTCGCCAATGCGCGTGTGCCGCAGATGCACTTTCACTGTCCTTCAAGATTTGCAAAGCGGCTCTTCACTGAAGAAGAACTAGCAAAGTTGCCAGACCCACGCAAAGTGATTTTCCACTTAACCAAGGCTGCAAGAGCGTCAGCACACATGCAGGAGTTCTACCAGTGGATGCCACCTTCTAGTGGGAAAAATGGAGGTAATCAGGCCTCTCGGGATACTCACAACACCAATTTGCAAGAGGAAGATGATGACGAAGAGGAGGACTTTCTTGTTCCTAAGAAAATCACTCTCGAAAAGATCACGTTTCTAGACAAAATCCCGGTTGAGAACCCTTTGCATTCCTTGATGTCGCCGAAATTGGCCACGTATTTGGCGAAAAAGGCCCCGCCATCTTCCAAGACCGTCCACTTCGCTGAGTCAGTCGAGATCCGCAACCTTTTGCCGCAACTAGGACCACGCGAACAGGATTTTCCTTGCACCTTAGCCTTGCGCGTGCATTTCGACAAGGAGAATCACGAAGACCCAGAGGAATCTCTACTACAAGTGGTTCCACCCGCACCCATGACGCAAGTACCGAGGCGCACACCGGTGTTGAGCATCAACGAAGCTGTGTCCTTGGTTGAGCATGTGAAAGTTCCGGCTCAAGACAGCGAGACGGAATTCGATGTGACTATGGGAGGCGCCGTGAAGCCCACAGAGCCATTCCCACCCACCGTTGGCGAGCTCTTAGAGGATGCCAGGCTTGTGCGGGGACCCAGCAATTTGGTCAAGTTGACTCAAGCTCTGCCAGTGGGTGCAGTGTTGCAATTCCGATTGGCGATGGTCGATGGGCAAGAGTCCGAGACGTTCTACTATTGGCGAGTGATCCCTGGCAGGAATGTTCTGACTTTCGACTGGGAATTGATCGAGGACTGCGTTGTTCGCTTAAACACACCAACATTAAGGGTTACCGAGTTGCATCCTTCACTGCGACCATTCTTGACTTAATATTTCCCAATAGTGAAGAAGTCAAGGATATTAAGCTGAAGAATGTAATCGCGCCGCAACCTCTAACAACATTGCGGCGCATGTGGCTCGGCGGCGACCTGTATCAGCCAGCATCGAATGCCAGTGCCGACAAAGAATTACTGCAAAACTCTCCACTCTCTAAACTGTTTGTCCAAAAAGGTTTATGCGCTTTACAGGGCTGTCAGGATTTCTTGAACACGAGAGACTTACTAGAGGTTCACTCCTTGAAGCTAGACCGACCGCCACAGCCAGGCGGCGCTTTTCCGGTCACAATTGACGTTGGTATGATGGAGAAGCAGCACTGTCTGGGTGCCCGCATCGTTTTGCTAGATCCCTTAGGTTTTGTGCCCTTGAGTGACGACATGCTGCTCTATGGCGGAGACTTCAGTGAACAGCCACAGAGTCCACACTACAGCACTGGCAGTGTCGCAGACCGTAAGCGACGTGCTTTAGCTCGCATGCTAGAGCAGACCGGATTGGATGTTGTGCTTTCCGGAGGATCACAACTGATGGATACCAGACACCTCTTGGCAAATTTAGATCTGAATTCACCGGCTGTGCGCGCTTTGAAGTACAATTCGTCCTATGGAGGGTCTGACTCAGTGTCCAAGTTTGCCATTGGCTTTGATGAAGAAGCAAAAGACGATTTGGATCATCGCGAGAAGTTCTCAGGCATCGACGTCTCTCCAGTGGGATCATTGTATCGTAGGAAACGGGAATCGACTGCGCTCGACAGCAGTCCTCGAAGAGATCCTGGAGGAGGGGACATCTTCAATATTGCTAGTGGCGGTCCTCCTGCGGGGACTTCGAACATCAATACTAGTGCAGCCCCTCAAGAAGGTAATGAACAAAAGAAGTCGCCCGGTGCGTCTCCTGCAACAGAACCTGCAACGCATCTTCCGGGAGCTACAGCGTCGTCGAATAATGAGGTTGAGCAGAGTACTAGATACCCCAAACCTGAGATTGGTCTTTACCTGGACAGAAGGAAGTTTCCTGCTCTGCTTGGCCAAAAGCCGATTCCTCGGATCATAGAGGACGAGTATGCTTTTAAAGTAGCTGAGCCGGAAGTGGACTTGCATTTGATTCAGAACGATCTGCTTTCCCCAGTTATGGCTTGCCTTACAATATAAAAAAGATTCATGATCTACTTGGAAGAGGCATCCTTTCAGTACCTACTGTGTTTCCTAGTAATTTCTCAAAGAGGTGTATCTTTGACTTTGACGTGCTTTCCAAAAAACAAATATTCACCACTCTAATCCAGAAGAGGTGAATTTCTTCCGGAATGCAAGACTTTTTTTGGACTTTATTGGGGAGCCAAAGCTAGTGGGTGCTTCGGGTGGACAGACGTCATCTATGGACAAAATGGATAATCAGGACAGGAAAAACGATGCTGGCGTTGATGTTGAGAACAAGGCTGATGTCGATGGTGGGGAAAAAGAGGGAGACGCTGGCGCATGCGAAAATGCAAGTGGTGAACAGGAATCTGGTGAGCAAACAGCAGTGTGTGAAAAAGGCGAAACTAGTGGAGATAAAGCGGCAAGAGATGATGTCGAAAATCTAGACGCACAACGACAAAGAGACGATGGAGACAATAAAGATGGAGACAATAAAGATGTTGAGTCTACCATGACGCCTTCAACAGCTGGTGCACAAGATAAAGGTAAAGGGAATGGAGCTACGAAGCTAGCTACTCTTTCCGACACTCCGTTTCTTTCCCGCCGTGCTGATTGGCCATTCGAGCTTCTTGCTTTGCAGCAGTGCGCCGCTCGTTTGCCACCTGGCTTCGACGCTGAGTTCGCCGATGATGAATCTCCCTACCTCCGCAATCGGGAAAAGCGGTCCAGCTTTTTGGAGTTTTTTGAAATCCGACGTAAAGATAGCTGTTTAGAAGCGTCGAACACGAGAGATCAGCACTTCTTCTTGAAAGCCGCAGCTCCATTTGCTCTGACGTCCTCGGCTCAGGGAGGAGGAGGTGGAGGGTCCTCGGCGTCTGGAACGACATCGCTTGCTACACACTCGCATTTAGATCCGAGTTGCTCGATCGATGCGCCACGAGCTCTGACTGCAGAGGAAGCGAGAGAGACTGCGCAAGCCCTGCAGTATTTTCCGACGCACAAGCAGTGGCACGGGTGGATGAGGGTCGAGACGACACTGCAATTCAATTGTTTAGGGGACTTTCTACAACGCGACGTCCCAGACCTAAGTCTGAACCAGCCAGATCCGATTGCCTTGGAACTCGCTCACCGCGCAAGGGCTCTGGAGCACGCACGCGACGTGTTTAATTTTTCTCTGCGAAGACTGCATCAAGCGTTTTTTCCGCAGGAAGCGTTGGGGATGCGAGGGTCTAGAAACGATCAGGGTTTAAATCCTAAACCTCCGATACCTGCTTGTTTGCTAGTGACCAACGAGATGAAGAAGGCTCTCACACTTACGGTGACACTTGTTTTAGTCACAAACTCATCCTGATCTTGAGAATAGACAGCATCTTATAAATACTTCTTTGACACGTAACAGATATTTTTTCAAGTAGGTAATTTTGTCTCCCAGAGGACTCCGCTCAGGCATAACAGAGGCACACATATGACAGGGGCTAGAAGCAAAATGGTGTCAAAGATGCGCCTATTTAGTTTTTTTTATGATGGATTTTTTAAAAAATATAGGGATCTCCACGCTTCTTGTGTTTTTCCTAGTTAGGTCTCCCTCATGATTCCTAGCTTAGTCCCTCAAATCAAACAAAAATATAGGGAAGGTCCTCCTCTTCTAAGACATTGCGGGTTTTAGAAGCGAGCGCAGCAATCGTATGCCACGTGCCAGCTGGTAGCAAGAGGATGAGTTGCGAATTCATTGTTGACAACTTCAAGTCTCCTCCTCCTACAAGCCTGGTAGGAAACAATAGTGTAGTCGCGAATGCTTCTGCTCTCCAGAATTCTACTGGGAGTACAAATACTTCTGGTTCTGCTCTCCAGATGAACTCTGCCCGTCTGAAGCCCCTAGTCGGCATGCAGGTAGGCGTTTTCACTCCCGGCGCGAAGGAGCCACTGGTTACGATAGAGCTGAGGCCAGACGGCATCTACGGTATGGGCTTGCACATGGTGAACCACGTGCAATTAAGCGATGACTTGATCGAGTGTTGTACTTCGCCAAAGGGCAAAGCAGTGACTGGGGAACTTTTGCGCGCTGTAATCACGCACGAAGGCAATGCAGTGGCCAACGCGATTCGGGAACCAGTAATGAGAACATTCCGCGAAAACAAAGGGGGAAGCAAGAAATCTTCGAAAAGGGACAATACGAGGACCAAACAAGATCAACATAGTACACCAGCAACAACGACAACATCATCGAGTGGGAAGCTAAGGGTCTGTGGATTCGTGCCTGTTTGTGCCGAGAGAGATTTTGTGGACGACTTGTGTTATTACAGTGGTGAGCGGCCCCACTCGATTTACGCCACACTGGCGCATGCTCCGAGCTTTCAGGTGTTGTCTAGGAGGAAGTCGCAGATTGAGAAATTCACCAGCATACCAAGATGGATCGCACCGCGTGGAACACTCACCGAAGATACCACCTTAGAGCCGATCCTTCGTTATTTGCAGCGTGCAGGACCAGCGCAGATTGGTTTCAAGCATAATCCCGCACCCTTGCTGCGTCGTTACTTCACTACGTTCGAGGGCGCCAGGAAATTTGTGGATACCGAGTTCAATCGCACAGTTGCTGGGTTCACACCTAACTTAAGGATTTTTGACCATCTTATCAACCCGTTCGCTTTCCCTCTAATTCTTAGGCTTGTCCCTTCTGGCTCTGGCAAAATTTGTTTTCTCAAGGTGCAGGATCAGGGTGTTTTGCCTCTCTCTCAGGGTACAGGACCCGGTGTACAGGATCCTCATCTTCAAAAGATACAGGTATGAAAGGAGAGGGGGCTGGAAGGGGATACGGAGAGGAACAGGCGGGGACTAGATACTCTTACTAGGGGAAAGAGATGAGGAGCACTTCTAGGTGAAGAATGTGGTCGTGATCCCGGTTTTGCCGTCTTCTTCAAAAGATAACAGGTTACAGGGGTTTCTCCTGTTACCGTCTGTTTTGCCTCTCTCTCCCCTAGGAACAAGAGAAAAGCACAACAACGAGAAACGGGATCGATATGGAAATCGAGATCTTACCTCTAAGAACTAACAATCCCGCCAGCAGCGATGCCGAGGCTTTGAAAGCCTTAAGTGGTATCCAATACGTCAGGCTGTCAGACTTCCGCAAAGAGTGCTCCACTACACCTTCTGGCGTTAAAGGGGCGTCGCAACAACGGTGGAGACTGTTGTTAAGGCTCAATAGAAATACTGTCAGACCACGTCTCTACGGTCACCATGAACGGTGATAACAGGGACAATAGCATGCATCTGATAATTGATATCATTAGTCCTAGGTTAATTGGTTACGGGATTGAAAGGTTTTGCTTGATTGAGGAAGTATAGAGTGCTTCGGTCTTCCTCGGTCCATCTCGTCATTATCAAGGCTCCCTAGGCCTTCGTAGGATGGGGAGAAATGCAGGCAAGGAATGCATTGCTTTGCGCTCTAATGTTACCAGAGAATTTGCAGCCGTCCGCTGCGGACTTCACCGGACTCACTCAACCGGTTATATCCGGAATAAGTATGCGCAGTACGGCAGCCTCAAGCTCGTCCTTAACCTCAACCTCAGATTCTGCGCCTTCTCCATCGAAAGGAGATGTCTCTGCGACTTCGTCCTCTAAAGGAGGTGCAGCAGAAACAGAACACCAAAAGCTGGCTCAGTTCCAGGGGGAGTTTGCGAATCCTCTAGTGAGACTCCGAGACTTGTTGCTAGAAACTCCAGATGGGGGAGCCACCTCTACTTTGTTTGATCTTTTCTCTGAGCGAAGTGACTTGGGTGAGGAATCTTTAGCACCGTTCGACTGCTTAAATCCCTATGGTTTTTACGTTTTGAAATTACGTGGGAATCCTTACCGCGCACGTGCTGTTTCTGTAACCGAAGAACTTCTGTTATGGGTGTCGTGAATTCATCGCCTAAGTCATCTGGAAGAAGAAAACCAGAAGAAGAAGAGAGCCAGACGATTCCTGAGATGAATTCCCTACGCCTCTAATCCTAAACCTGACTGGAGAGAAGAACCCTCAGGCTCAGAAGATTCATCAACATATATATACTGATACTGAAGAAGATGTTTACTACCTGCTGCTTGACGACTTCGTTCCGATTGAGAACGTTATGGCTAGAAGTACCGCTGAAGCATCCTGCCTCCTGCATCAACATGATCCTTGATCTTGGCCTTCTTGATCATTGGCCTAAGGCTTCTTGATCATTGGCCTAAGGCTTCTTGATCCTTGGCCTAAGGCTTCTTGATCCTTGGCCTAAGGTTTCTTGATCCTTGGCCTAAGGCTTCTTGATCCGTGGCCTAAGGCTTCTTGGTCCTTGGCCTAAGGCTTCTTGATCCTAAAGGAAGTGTCTTCCAAGGATATTGTTGCTCTCAAAGAGGAAGATGCGAACGGTCCTGAAGTGCTCTAAGAACGGTCCTGAAGTAATGCAGCCGGAGAACGTGAAGGACGGGCATTTCTTAGGAGATCCAAAGCCGAAGCCGAAGCCGAAAATGGATCCCGGTTTCAATTTTGGAGAGAGTGAATTGGCGTATCCACTTTTACTCACAAAAGCCTGCATGAAGCTTCACATAAGGCTTTCCGGAATTCATCTCATCTCTTAGTTACTTATTCAAAGCAGAAGCGGATATAATGGCTTGAAGAGTCAAAAGTAGTCAATACTCATACATCAAGGGGAACAACTTTTAACTATTATAAGCTGTAACTATGTTTGACGTTGTACAACTGCTGTTTTCCTAGGTCAGTCCCTCCAATCAATGACGTATTGGCGTTTTCAAGGGGAATTAGCGTCAAAGATGAGACTCTCTAGCTGGGAATTTACGTAAGCTCTAATTCACGGATCGGCTTGGAACCTGCAAAATTTGCGCGGCCTGGGCATGGACACAGTCTACTGCTTGTTGGGACGACAGTAGCTTCTTTTTTGAACATGGAGAACTATTTACTGCTTGATGGGTTGACATTAGAAGTTACAAAATCAAAAAAAAAGTTAGTCATGAGGAGTTACCTCGATGAATGGCTGAACTCGTCTACTTGATTGTGATGTTTTAGGATTATGTTGATCAAAGACCACTAATGGTGTAACTGACATACGGTCGCAGATAGTGGTGTAACTGGCAGACATTAAGAGTGGGCACCTTCGTTCATTCATCCACTACCTAGTTTTTTCTGGAACTATCAGTGGAGAACTCTGGATCTCAAGGATTTTCTGGAATTATTTGTTGAGAACATACTGGACCTGTTCGCTGCTCGAAAACATACTCTAGATACCAACGAGCTGACTTTTACTGTTGGAGACGACGAAGAGTGAACTTTTTTCTTAGATGATATTTATGTATCTAAGTATGTTGTCATTGAGTTTTGTAGCTGCTACGTCGTGGTTCTAGTGAGTGAATGAATTGAAAATTGTTCTAGTGTAAAGTCAGTGCTGCGTGATCGAGAGTTCAGTATTGTTATCAGGTAGATCGAGGCTAGCTGGCGTGCTGGCAGGCTGGCTTTTCAAGCTGGCGTTGTGTAACCTTTTTGATTGTTTAAATTCCTGGCTTTTTAGGCTCTTCTCCAGTAAATTCTCTTTTCGATGAGCAGGCATGTCATACCCTTGCAGGTTGTAGCACTTGCTTCCAGGGCCCTACATTGTTAGGCTGTGCCTTAGTTGTTCTTCAGCGGCTATTGTAATATAGTCCTCTCCGATAGTAGTAGTTTTTGGCCGTTGTGATACGGTTTTCTTGCTCTCCCGGTATAAAAGTTTTTAAATGGGGTTTTTTAAGTAGTTGAATGGGAGGCAGCATGTAGTCCGATGGAAAAAAAAAACGTAAACTACGTCCAATAGGAGACACGAAGCTCGCGAGACGAATTGAATCGAGACGCACAGGTAGAAAAGTAGTCTGTCACTGTTGCTACGTCATCACTGAAGAAACATTCATCGCGGAAAAACAGCAGATGAATTATCAAGAAAAATATACTGTGAAAAACCACAGATGATTCACATTCACCAAGAAACATCAAGAAAATATAGATATACCTGAAAAACCACAGATGATTCACATTCCTTCGTCAAGTTTAAAAACGAGAGATATTGAAGAGGGGTATATACTGTGCAGACAGTTGCTGTATTAAGACACCAGTGTTCTGAGTCAGAGAAATTATGCGAGGGAAAAAGTGGGGAAGTTACTTATATTAAAACATTTGAGAGACACGTGATAGTGTGAGATTTCTTCTGTTGTATTGTGGTATCGTAAACCTCCTGCTCACCCTATTTTAAAAAAGCCAGTGATCTGTTGGCACCTGATCGGTTGAGGAATTGAGGTAACGATGGCGTTCGGTGAATGCGCGTGTCTCTGTAAGAGGTACTAGTTCTCTCGTGAAGGATTGGTGAGTTTTGCCAAGAATTACCTGACCAACCATCTCCTAGAACCTGACAGTTGCATTTTTAAGTCTATCATATCCCGCAATCTTTCTCATCCACCGCTACTCAGTTCTATAGTTTCCTCTTTCTCTTACAACCTCCAGGATTTTTCCCATTGTTCCGCAACGATCCTCGAGCATTTTTCACAATTCCCACAGTTGTTTCCATTTCCTTTTACAATGATCCCCAGAATTTCCCATACTGAGACTGACTATATTGTGAAGTTCGTCTACTTCACATGATGTGCACTGAGTAGATCTTCAACTATGTCCACTCCACTTCCCATTATGTTTCTCTTTTTCTAGATGTGACTACTCAAGTACACCAATAGGGTTATTGGTTTCTCTCCGTTGGATTGATGCAGATGCGGGCCATTTTTGACCTCTCTTTTTCTAGATATAGTGAGTCAGTGTAGGTTAGTGTCGCTGTGTAGGATCCCTATCCCTACGGTAACCTGGCTACTTTTTTGAGTTAGTCCTCTTAATAGCATCTTCTTCTACTCGGTAGCACCTAGAAGTGAAAGACGAGACCCCATACTGCGTGTTTCGTCAATTAGAGTGTGTCGTCATCATTTGTGCTTACTCTCTTCCGAGTAGCGAGACACTCATCCCTTGATATGTACTGCAGTTGTATAATTTCGTAATAATTATATGCGAAAAGGGTAGAGCACTCACTCCACCATCGATTTTTAGTCTTCCTTTTCCTCAGAAAAAGTATGCAGATTTCAATCCTTGTAAATTAGCTTGAAGAAGTACTTCTGTAGCTACTACTAAAAAGTATAAAAATCAGTGGATTCTAGTACCCGTCAAAAAAAACTTCTTGGTCGAAAAAGAAGCACTATAACTTTTGGAAAGCACATCTCGAACTCGCTGTAACATCACCATGCCGGCCGTGGAAGCAAGCAGTGTGCTAACGGTCGCCACCGCGCCCGCTGGTGAAGGCCCCCCGCAAAGTGCCTTGCAGGTGTCGAGAGCAGCCCGAGTAAAAAGTCTTTGGAATGCTTTACGCGATAGTGTTATTGGGGAAAAAGCTACTGGCGGAACCGAATTGACGGGGCACCTGTATGGCTAAGCTGGTTTGGGCGAGTCTGTAGTTGGAAGGAACGTGATCAGTCATCATTTTCTCTATTTACCTGGGGGCCCCGCGCATCCTACATGCGGCGCCATCGTTACAAGATGGCACTTCACATTCTCACTCTCGTTCACCTTCACTATTCTCTAGTGCACTGCCCACATTCACAAAATGTTTTCCGCCCTCACTTCCTGCCCCCGCTTAGCCACAACCTCAAACACGAGGTTGGGCGACTGCGTCATCACGCTCCGCATTCTCTTTCACATTTCGCTTCACTTTCCTTCGCACATGTTCCTTATATTTCAGTCCCTTACTCTCCCTACGCTCACAGCCAGATTGGTGGCCTCATTTATCGCGACCTCTTCCCGCTTTCGTGCGTGGGTGATTTCTAGAAAGCATTTGGGTGAGTACTGCTGGGCCAGTCGGGCATTCTGGCTGTGACCACAGGCAGAGTAAGCTTCGAGCTCGCTCAAATTATGGCTCGCGTGAGCCTCTAATTTTATGATCAGCCCGAGCTGTGCGACATGGAGCAGGTTGCAAAGGAACTGCGTGCCAGTTGGATGCGTGGCAACGAGGAGAACGAAGAAGCAGCAAAGGCTTTGGAGGAAATTCTGAATGCTGCACTAAGCGAGGACCAAGAACAAGGGTATTATTATGATTTCTTTTCCTCAGTATCTCTGATCTAGTAATAGTTTTTTGTGATGATAATAGAAGAGAGCTTGTGGACCGTATTCAAAATCTTCTGCTTCATCAAATATTACTGCACGACAGGACGGGACAGAAACTGCAAGCTCTGAACGACTTTGCCAGGCGAAAGAACGCAGGTGGCGGTTTAAGCTCGACGGACTTCAACTGTGCTTAAGGATTCAGTTGTAATAGCGTCCTCTTCTATAATAAAATCGCACGCATTCACTGCACTCCCTTGTAGAGGAAGAAACGTCAAGAATGCAAAAACTCCTCATCGATAAAATCACTCGTCGATAATTTCGAAAGTAGTTGCGCGAGCATTGCGCGTTAGCATTCTCTCTAAACTAGTCACAATCATAGTTCAATAAATTCGCATTCATCATTATCACCATCACCATCACCATCACCATCACCATCACCATCACCATCACCATCACCATCACCAGCACCATCACCATCACCAGCACCCTCACCCTCACCCTCACCCTCACCCTCACCCTCACCCTCACCCTCACCCTCACCCTCACCCTCACCCTCACCCTCACCCTCACCCCATCATCATCATAATCTTCACCATTCTGCAAGCCTCTAACTTTCTTTTCCGAAAGATGGAAGAATCACATTCGATACCACTGCAAGTAATATCGTTTTCGAAGCGAATGCCCGGGAGACTGCTCTGATCAGCAAAGACGACCTAGAGTTAAGGCACGCTGGTGACTTCTATTAATTTGACCAGCTAGTGGGCTTCCTAGGATCAACTTGTTGGCGTCTATTCCATTGAGAAGACTACCTCGGGTCGCCGACCACCTTAGTCACCTAAGCTACTTAGTATTTCACCTACTTAGATGTAGTCACCTATCTAGTTTCTCACTCTTTAGGCTCTCATCGTGCTTTATACCTTCGATTTTTCAAACAAGAGAAAAAGGTTAAAAGGTAGAAAATAGAAGTCAGCACGCAGCGTCTAACAGCGAGCTTCACGTTTTTCACGCCCCTTTGGTTCCGACAGCAGCTCCTTTCACATGGCAAGAGTAATAGTACTCCAACATACCCACCAATCCTGCTAGTGGTGTAGAGGGTGTCCCAACATATGCGCCAATCTTGCTAAGTCCTCCTCAATCATGTTTAATATGCAACAGCTACAATTTCCATGACACGTAGGAGCAGTCCCTTTCATCTAGCGGAACGCTTTTCCTCCAACTACGCAGGTGACCGAGAAAGGGTGAAGAAGATCGCGGGCATGCTGATACAAGCGAGAAGAAAGAGCACAGGTGACGGTGGGTGTCAAAGGATTGCTCAGGCTGTTGCTGAGCGACTCCGGACTGGGAGTATCATGTTTACTGAACTCGAGTATGAAGCTTTCAAGCACATTTTGAGCGCTGCACTCAGAGAGGAGGAGAAGTATATTATTTGAACGTGGCTGGGTGTACTGGGTTGGATAATATTTAGTTTCAGACCACTTACTTTGTTTTGTATCTATTTTCGCTTCCATCTGTTGACCCCCCTTTGATGAAAGATACAGAAAGAACACCGCCGGATCTTTTCCGGGTTCTTTCATTATTAAATACTGCATAACGTTCAGCGCTGCAACCCTCGAGAAGTTCAAACAACTTTTCGAAGAAGTGGCGCCTGATGTTTGGCAACAAGTGAAGAAATTTTACTGGGATTCCGGAGAGTGCTCTTAAGGATTCAGTGTCGCAAAGTTCTTGCTGTTATCTAAGTATAAATTTAGAATAGACGACGCATTCGTCACCTCGCTTTGTTGTGATTGTGGAAATGAACCATGTAACTTTTTAGGGATTTCCTTGAGTGTCGTTCTTGCACTGATATCATTCTACTCCATAGAGGCTCGGGTGGCGGGTGAGCGAATTAAGCCTAGAAATTTTATGTTGCTTTCGGTAGGACCATGCTTCCACCTCCCTATTTCAACTGCCAACTGAGTAATTGAATGAGGGCAATGACCTCTAATCGAACACGGCAAAGATCGTGTTTGAAAAGGAGACTGGAAATATCGTTTTTGACACAACGAAGCTTGGGGACACGATAGAACCTAAAACCATCTTGATCGAAGGTGACGCCCTGAAATTACGGCCCTTTGCTGTGGACGTGTGCTTGACTTCTATTAATCTAGCCATTTAGTTAGCAGTATCAAGCAGACGGCCGCCTCGTTTCACTTCATTGACTTCCATTCCATTTAGAAGACCACCGGGAATCACCTTACTGACTTCTAGTTTACCTATTGGACAACACATGGCGACGTCATTGCCTTCTAGTTAACTTGCTGAGGTCCTCATCTTGCTTTTTTCATGAAGAGAAAGTAGCGGATTAGAGACTCTTTTTCTACTCTATCTAGAAGTCCGTTACTTTCTTATCTTGAAAATAGAAGGCTCTTGGAAATCGAAGTATGGGCGCAACGTCTAACAAGAAACTTCAAATTTTACGGATACAACGGAAACGAAAAAAAGAATGCCTACAGGGACACCCGTCAGTTTGCTTCGGCGCTGAACACGTCTGCAGCATTGAACGGTACTGCAGTGTGCCGAGATTGATTTCCTATCGTTTGTCTCTTTTCTCGGATAGTCGTTCGATCGCACAGAGCAACAGTTTCAGAAGAGGCTAGCTAAAAAAATTCACTTGAGAAGATCGCACTAACACTATGAGTACATAGCACAAGGAAGAGAATTGTGATACTCACGCATGAAAGACGCCGGACCATGCTGTCAGAGACGTCCGCGGGCCTTTAACTAACATTAGGGAGACCTCCGCGACCGGTTCGTTGGTCAATGGGTGCTGCAAATTGAATATGGCTCACAGTACTGCTAGCATTTAAGAAGTAGGCCTGGCTTAGGTCTAACAACACTCAGCAAAGCGCGCAAGCAATGCTAATGAAAATATGTGGGAAGAAGAACCCTCGTCAGACAGCAGCATGATGCTAAGCAATATTTAGCAAACTCTGACTTCCCCAAACAAATTGGAGAAGCAGCGCGTTGGCTGGCTGCTTTCTCGCTGCGTGCTTTCATCTAAACAGCAAACATCTTTACAACAGGTGACTGGTCGCTTGTTGCTGCATGCTTTTCCCCCAAAGAATCATCTCCACGACAGGTTCCTTGCTTTCATCCGAGCGGCAAACCTCTCCACCTACTTCAAAACAAGAAGCGCGTCCATCATTCATGCCAAATCCTAAATCCAACAGAAATCCGCGAGACAGGTGGCGAGGGGGGACTCCTGAAGTTGCTGGGCCAGGCGAGGGAGGAGCTGACAGGCGGAAATTGTCAAACACAGGATATGGAACAGCTTCAAAACGTGTTTCGGGGTTTCTGGGGTGAGGGAAAGTTTGATCGACAGACTGTCAATAGTGGTCTCCAGCCGTTAGCAAATGATGTTCTAGTGGAGTATTTGGAACATGCGGGTGGGCTCGCAGCGGAAACGTACTATTGACGTCACTAGTCTAAAAGCAGTGCTATCGATAAGAAGTAGTCTAGCAGAGTGCCACTCGTATCATCTTGGCTCGTGGTTCTTCGTCATATTAATAATCGCACCAATCCCGCAACCAAGGCGGGGCGAGGTGGAGCGAGCGTGGCCCGCCTGAAGACCATACCGCCCAGCCGATGCCGAGTCACCGCCGGATCCGGCCGCGAATCCGCAAGGCGCAACCGCCCGAGGCAGTACCCCAGGACCGACCCTCACCTAGCGACAATCGGCGTCTTTTCAGGTGCGGGGGCATGGCGCTGGTGCGCTTGTCCTTGTGCGGAATCAATGGGGGTCATGCTGGGGCGTCGTGGTTGTCGGGCGTCCGGCCATGCAGCGGGCCAGGGGTGGGCGAGCTTGCTGCCTGAGTCACAGCTAGTACCGCTGCCAGGTGTCGGCCTTTTGCTTTCTTGTTTGGCGCTCGCACATTTGGGCGAGAGGGCCTGCGCGAGAGAGCCGCGCCCGCGGCCGGGCTTTGCTTTGAATCGCCCCGAAGGTGAAGAGCGCTGGCCCGAAGAGGCCACTTTGGAGGACAGAGGGCCGGCGACGGTTCTAGATTCAGAACCGGCAGGGGCGCTGCCGTGAAGAGCGGGGAGAGAGATGGATTGCCGGGCCCAGTTCGCGACCCACAGCGAAGCCTAGACCTCGTGGGGCACGTTGGCGAACCCGGTGCCCGATTGCCAGGCGCTACGCCGCTGCGTGTCCCTGCTCTCTTCTCTTCTTTTCATCGGTGTTGCTGTGGTCTATGAGTGCTCGAAGCATGGGTGGCGCCGGTTTGCCGGCTTCAAATTCCACAAACGCTCCGCACGGACACTCCTACTCGGGCCGCGGCCCCTATGCCTACTGCTACGACTGTCCCTGCCTCTCGACCACATCCAATATACCTTTTTTTGGTTGTGAATTCAAAATTGTTGTCGAAAATCCGATGTCAGCACTAGAAGTACTTATCGCGCATAGGGACATTAGTATCATCTATTTGGATACGAAATCTTCTGTCTTGACACGCTCCACACGGCAGGTCTGCTTGGCCGAAATTGAGGAAGTTTGTGAAGCGGACGCTGGATTGTCAGATCGCAACGTCGCAAGGCATTGCGTCGGAGTGGCGGAGAGGTGATTCGTGGCAGCGCTTTGCGGTGGAGATGGGGGAAACGACGCTCCTAGACTATTCCGCTGGGAGTTTCAACCCGAGTCCCGAAGAAAGATTTCTCGGCCCGCTTTTAAGACTTTTTTTGCTCGATTCTATCTATGATCCATACCGCGTTGCTTGTGGCTTCTTTCTCTAGAACAGAAATAAGCAGGTCATCAGAGAAATACTCACGATAGAACGGAGCAACCCCGACGGCGGGGCCTAGACATCCTATCCTACCGTAACCCTATCCCAGCCTCTAATTTTTAGCTTCAGGAAAGCGCTGTCTGAGGCAATGTGGAAACCAAAATACGGAGAAGAAAGTAGTACTTAAGTGCGTCCTCGTAGTACTTTGTTTCTACTCATTTCTTGACTGTTTTCTATTTTCCATCATAGGTGGTGATAGTTTCTACTTGATGCAAGAGCCACACTTGTATATAAGACGAAGCTGAAAACGTCCAAAGTTTGCGTTTACAGAGTCAATCTCTTACTTTTCTCAGGCTAGTAGATTTTGCTCATTCAGCCATCAATGAACAAACATTATAGCAACATATAATATATCGCAAAAGGTTCGCATGCTCCGCGAAAGAACCTTGAATGTCTCATGGATGTCGCGTTTAAGGCTTCCCCTAATTCATCTGCTGAAGCAGCTTGGAGCTGTCCCGTAAGCGAAGGGGAAAACAGCTCCAAGATGGACTCCAGGATGGATGTAGGTGAGCTCTAAAACACATAAAAGGAGCAGCGGGAACATAAAAGAACCGACTGGGGGAGCCGCGTTCAACGACTGCATGATGGGGAAGATTACGAACGACCTCAAGAACGCCTGGAGTGGTAGCTCAAAATTCGCGGGTGAGACTGATGAAGAGAACTCTGACGGCGCCCGCGCTTTGAAGGAAATTTTGCAGAGTTCGATCGGGTAATCATAAATTAAGGACTTTGCCTTCAATTTTTTGGAGTACGCCATCCATCTCTTGGTGGTGACGATAAGAGAGAACAAACCTCCGAATAAAGGGAGTCTTGTTCTTGGGTCAGCAACGTGTGTAAGTAGAGCGCGTTTTCTGTCTTACTCTTTTAAATAAGGGGTTCGGCGCATCTACTCTTCACACATTGCATAGTTGCCGCTGACGTTGAGCAGGACTACTATAGTGTACTAGTAGGCACTTCTACTTCTGAATGATAGATATGGATCGTAATAGAAGCAAGAACCTCGCTGAACTATCTCTTTCTGATCACAATGAGTATCAATATCACAGCATCGAAAACGAAGAGAAAATGGTTTCGCTGGGCACATTTTTTATGAAGAAGAAGTTTCCGATTGCGGAGAAGTTTCCGATTGCGGGTGTTGATGGAACAATTGAAACTGGATGGAGAGCAAAGATCGGATGGAGCCAAACTCAAACGCTCAGTTAAGGATAGGCTTTAGGTGTTCCCGTTGCCGTTAGTTTTACCTGCTATGAGAGGGAAGGGCCATAACTAATGGCGGAAGCTAACGCCAAGAGCCTACCTCTAACAGTAAACGCACACGCACTATCCTGAAACCGACACTAGTATCGTCCTCAGACTCGAGAAGACGGCGGATGGAGGAAAGCTGAAGGAGTATAAGCTGATTGAGCTCTTTGACCTAAAAATGGGCCAAGACAATTTACGGCTGACCTGGTGCTTTGTGAGTGTGCGCTTCCATTTTAGACTTGGAAGCTCGATTTCCTTGCTTGCTTTCTGTCCAATTTCGTGCCTGTAGGCACCACGGAAAAACGAGACAGAGAAGCTGGTGATGAAATGGCGCGGCTTGGTCTGTCCTCTAATATTTTCTGCCTCAGGGCGGATCGAACGTGATGCAGAATATCCGAAATTTGCTGAGGCACTCCAGCAGAGAGACAGTAACAAACTTAACGTAGCACCACTGCAAAAACTTACATAGAGATCGATGTGTAGCAGTAAGGTAGTGGCTACATCATCGTCATAGGTTCGTCAGTCAGCCAGGCAAGCAGTCCGTCAATGTTCTTCGTGCATGTTAGTTTACAGCAAATATATACAGCTGATCTTTAGTCGGAGAGTTCTGTTGACAACTAGTTTACAGACACACAGAAGCAATATTGGTTTCTTGATAATCTGACTACCATCCACCTAACCACGAACATCATAGGAAACACGGGAGACAAGGCAATAGCGGGCGAGCTTCTTTGTCTACTGAAAGCAGCGGACGAGAAGGCAAGGAACATGGATAAAGAGGCGCAGGCACTGGCTGTGGCGCCGTATCGAGAAGGGCGAAGCGAGGAAAAAGACATCCAACATTTGAGGAACGTTGATTAAGGCTTGCCGATTGACCTACTTTCAAGCACATCAATCTCGGAATGCGTCTAACGCACGAAGCTCGCAGACCATATGCGCCATGCTGAGTAGGTCAATTGGATGCCGCTAACTGTAATTGCCGAATCCGGAGGATTACGACAAGGCAGCACAGGCCAAGTTTCGAAAGTGTCAAGGAGAACAGGGGCAAGGTACTTATAATATCATAATTGCTTAAGTAAGTGAGTAACTTCTAGTACTTTTTAGCAGTGAGAATATGGATTGTCTCAGTTGATCGATTTACTTTGCACCAGATGAACTACCAAGCAAGCCCACCAGAAAAAAGTATGTTCGTTCTAATGACAACCGATATGGCCATGGCCCTAGATCGATTTCCTTTTTGTTGATCATAACAACAAAGCGGCCAAGGAGGAGAACAAGAAGGAAGAGGCGCCGGCGGAACCGGCAGAGGAGGAAGAGGCGCCAGCGGAACCGGCAAAGGAAGAGGCGCCAGCGGAACCGGCAAAGGAAGAGGAGAAGAAGGAAGTAGAGGTGGCAGCGGATCCGGCAAAGGAGGAGAAGAAGGAAGAGGTGGCAGCGGATCTGGCAAAGGAGGAGAAGAAGGAAGAGGCCAAGGAGGAGGCCAAGGAAGAGAAGAAGGAAGAGGCGACGGGGCAACCGGCAAAGGAAGAGCCCAAGGAAGAGAAGAAGGAAGAGGCCAAGGAGGAGGAGAAGGAAGAGGCGTCGGCGGAACCGGCAAAGGAAGAGACGTCGGCGGAACCGGCAAAGGAAGAGGCCAAGGAGGAGAAGAAGGAAGAGGCGGCGGCGGAACCGGCAAAGGGAGAGGCCAAGGAGAGTGCAGCGAAAGAGCCGGTGGAGCCTCAGGTCTTGCGGCCGGAGCATGCTACAGCATCAACATCACCACGAACACCACCGCAGGTTCGCGGTCAGGATGAAGCAAGAAAATTCCTCGCGAAAGATGGTGGGCATCAAAGTGTACAGGGTGAAGACGTGCTAAGGCCCCGTAGATTAATATATTATAATATTAAATCATCTTTCTTAGAAGAATGCATTATCTGCAGAAGCATCCTTTGGAAGGGACTTTGATAGAGATTGGTTTTCAGCCAGAAGATATTCAGAAGCATCATAAGAAGGCTCCTGTGATATTTAGAGGGGACTTACTTTGATAAGGGGTTCAGTCTGTTGAACTTTTCAAAGGGAACTTCAAAGGTTTGCTTAGCGAGAAAACCTAAAAGCTCTAACATTGGCCGGGCCGAAGCATGTGCAGGTCAACGTTCGCGCGAGCCCAGTTGTGGTCGGTAAGCTCCTTACTTTGTGCACCTTTGTTTTTTAACGCTGCGTAAGTTATTATAGGTGCCCCTGCTGCCGTGATTTTTGTCTTTCGTAAGGGGGGAAGGGCGCACGAGCTGGGGAGACTGACACCAAAGCCCTGCCGCTAAGCTTTCCTATAGGCATGGGCCTGCATATCCGGCTAGAAGTTGACGCTTCGAAACATAGACTTACAGAAGATTGATGGACTCTTTTCTTTGTGCATTTGCAATTTTCCTGCCGAACCCGAAGAACTTTTCTTGTTCCATTCAGTCGATGAATATTGTTGACATCGAAAAGCGCCAGGAGGTAACTACTTCACCCAAATCAAAATCAGACTTTTTTTTACCCAAGTCAGACACTCCCCTACCCAAATCAAAGTCACTGCGAAGGCGTATGAATATTACACATGATTAATATACAGGACGAAAATCCGTTTTCACTTTCAACGTATCCTAGGAGATGAAATGGCTGAAAATGGAAACGCTTTTTGATTGAGTGCATTATAGCTACAACAAAACTTCAGATGTTCACTCATGTGCTCCCGGCAGTGGCTTTTTGCAGCGGTGTGGAGATGATCGGAAAACGACTGGGAAACCGCGGCTGAGAGGTGGAAAGAATGCGAGTTCGGGTTTTTTGAAAAAACGTCCTGGCAATGTTGGTACTACGCAAGAAAGTGACTGGCTCCTACGATTCCTTCTTAATATTATTCCCTTCATGATGACAGCGCTAAGAAAGTGACAGCCGATAACCAAAAGTAGCAATCTTGAGCATTTGCTTTACTGTAGTTTTTGTAGGTGGTGAGCACTATTTTCTTACTTGCTTCCTTCAGCATGAATACAGCTATTTTGTTACAGCTTGGCATTGGTAGATAAGATCATTCGCCGCAGTTGTTTTTACTGTCTGTTTGATAATATTGATACTCTCGCATTTTTCACACACTCGAACTTTTCAACATCTTTTTATTTGTACTTAGAGAGTAGCTCCTATCTGCAAATAACTTTCAGGGAATGAAAATGCGGAGAAGTCGTGTGGTTTTTTTGGGTGGTGTGGCAGCACAGCCACAGCCCCTACACCCGACGACGGGAACACGGCCTCTACACCGCGGCTGAAGTCTTTGACTGCGCAGGCAGTTTTTAAGGCTCTTAGAATTTAGTGTATTGAGCACAGTGTACTTCTTTAAGATATGAGTCATCGGTCTCAAGGATGCATGTTGAGTCTCAGGGATGCATGTTGAGTCTCAGGGATGCATGTTGAGTCTCAAGGATACATGTTGAGTGTCAGGGATACAACATGTTGAATCTCAAGGGCCCTCAAGGATGCATATGCGTCTGTGTATGCGTATGAATCTAAAGGATGAATAAACAATAGTGATAATATTACCCTATACATAGGATACGCATTACTCTTAAGGATGCATGAAACAGACGCAGGCTAGGCTTGTGATTGATTTTGAAGTCTCAAAGGGAATCCTATCGGACTAGATACTTGGAAGGCCCAAAGGGGGGTCTTATCGTACTAAATACTCGTAGCTCGTTTCTAACACAGCAGCGCTGCCGGGTGAGTCGAGTTTGGTGCTTTTGATTTGCGTCTTTGCTGCGGCCGCTTTGTTGCGTTTGGCGGTTCATCGGTGCCATACGAGGGGCTAGCAGAGTGCCTGGATCATGTTGTGAAGCTGGATCATGTTGTCGTGATCAACGTGTAAGTATTAGAATGCAGGTAGGAAAGTACTCAGTCTATTTCTTAGGAACATTGAGATGGAATTCAGGGAAGGTAGAGCTACGCTTTGAATATGGCGTATATCATGTATTTGTAGTATATCTTCGCTTATTATTAGAACAAAGCCATAGCCCATAGGATAGTGATGCATAAAATGTAGAAGCTCGAACGCGGATAGCGCACAATTGTATTTAATCTGAAGACTTCTACTTTCCTTTGTATTGATAGGAACCTCCGAAAATTTATAGTTTTGATTTATCGGAACTCGCTCGCGATACAAAAAAAAAAAGTATGGATTTACTTGGATTGAGATTCTCAGTCAACACACTTCGTAGAAACAGGCATACGCAAAAGACGCAAAGAAAAAGACATAGTCCTAACGCAAAAAAAAAAACTCCACTGGAAAACCTATCTGTCATGAGAGAAATCTGAATTCAAGGCTGTCTCTACCTACCAGGAGACGCATCTTGCTTTCAGATTGGAATTTTTGGATAGTGCTGAGACTGTACGTAGATCGGATTTTGAAATTTTTGGAAGTAGAAATCAATTTTTGAAATGAATTGTTGGCAAGATGATTGTGATATTGATATTGGAGCTAGCCGGAAGATACGAAGTGGTCCGCACAGTCAAGTATCTGTAGTCGTAAGTGTGATCATGTACAAGGAAGAACTAAACAAGCAATATTGGAGCTAGCCAGATTTGCATGTTGTATAAGTACAATCAGGCAGAAGTGATCACGACAATGATGCATAGGTGCCGAGGACTCGAATCATCGTCACTGACGGAAAAGATCACGGCTGTGAGAACCTTTGTCGAATTAGAATTTTTCAAGAAAAAACTAGACTCAAAATGAACAAAGAGGAATAGGAAACTACTCATTACAACAATGCGAGCCAATTATTCTGAAAAATATAGTTGGAAATTATTTTGACCCACCAAAGAAAAGGTTGGGCTTGGGTATTCTATCATCAGCATGAAGTGAAAATTTAAGAACTACAGCAACAAATGAGCACTCAGATGTACTTAACACATTTTTTGGAGAAATGAATAATAAATTATTGAAGCCACGATTAGGGTCTTCCAACACAAATTAGGGTCTTCCAACACAAACAACACCAAACAGGGAAAAAAATGCAAATGTCCTCTCGCTGCACTCGTCTCAGTCCTGTATGAGGATTCTTTTCATCTCATGCAAATAAGATTCTTGACTATCTAAGGTTCACCAAATTATTGAAGCCACGACTGCACAAGAAAAAAAGGCGAGATCGCCATATCGATTGCCAGGGTGATGCATCTTTTCGCACATATGCGAGCTACTGTGTAAAAATTTATTGCTGGAAGAAGATAAGTGCGAGGTTTCCTGCATCTCCCCGCATCCAGGAGGGCAGCGAGCTCTAGCGCTGCAGTAAGGTGCGTGTCGACTCCAGACGCAGCAAGGTGAGGCAGCAAGAGGAGGGATTATCTGGTGTGTTCCACTGTTGAAATATCTACCACCAGCTCTAGGTGGTTTTGGCTCTAGTGAAATATCTACCACCAGCTCTAGTTGAAATATCTAACCAGCAGCTTCAGCAGCCAACCGGGTCGCTCGACAATAGAATGCTGCCGGTTGGCTTCGAGCTCAGGCCGTGGGGCAGAATAAGCGAGAAGTGTAGACCCAGGTACCAAAAAAGAAGGACAGGGTTGGGCACACGAATGAATGAAAAGTAGGCCAGAACCTTACCGAAAACACGGAGGGCTTTCCTGTGGACCGCGAGTAAGTCCCTCTAATAGAGAGTCCATCGAGGCTCCGTGGTGAAGACATCCATAGCCGTAAGAAGAGAAAACTACACTCATAGCCGTAAGAAGAAGAGACTACATCCTTGTAAGGGGACAACAGCGATAGCCGTGACTCAGAGGGGAGAGAAAACTGCATCCATAGAAGAGAAGAGGGGAGTAGAGGACCTGTGTGAAAGCGTGAAGCACATCTCTACAGCCGTTCTTTAGAGGACTACTTGTTCATGATTCTCAATGCGGAGAGGAGTTCTCTGCATTTTATGCTATGTTGCTGTAGTTTCGAGTTACAGAGTAACAGAGAAGAGTTAGAGTGCACTTGCTTCATATGATTTTTTCGAGAGCTCGTGCTCGCCTTGTCAGTCTATGGGTAGAGCCTCTTGTATGTTATGCGTGAGTAAATTACAACGGACGCGGTCTTAATATCAATACAGTAGGACAAGAAAGACAATCATCGAGCTCGACCGTATCGATGGCAGCATGAAGGAAGGAATGCGTCCCGGTCTCATGCTTGCCAAGGTAGATGTTGTTTACAATTGTGACGGAATCATGTTTAGGATTTCATATACATCCGCCGTGTCCCACGATACCCACAATGCCCTTTTCTACCCATGTAATTGGTAGGTCCTCTTGAAGTCGCTCTTCAGTCAGATCATCAGGTCACTCAGATCATAGTTTTGCGTCTGACCTCATTGTTAGATCGTGGCTCTGCGTCGTTACCTCACTACCCCGTCTCAGTCAGATCGTGGCTTTGCGTCGTTCGTTGACGTGAATGGATGCTATGGTCTCTCGCGTGTGGCGCCTCTTGGCTTTCTCCTGTAGTTACGTTCTCATTCATGCGGAAATATAAGTGGAGATCGACAGAGATGAGTAAGTATTCTACGGGACCGAAGGACAGGCTGGGGCTGCTTGTTTTACCGATGAAATTGCGTCAGCATTTTTGGAAGAGGCGAAGGTGATCCGTGCAGCCCTCAAGGGCGAATGCGATGAGCGGGATGGGGGCAATTTCGATGGCCGCCCTGCCGGACGCTTGCTTCGCTCTTATTTCGCGGCTAGCCTCTCCTTGTCTTCAATGCGGTCGTCGATTATCGCAGATGAACAACTCCAAAACAACAAAGAGTTTGCTCATGCTCACAATGACGGGATATTAAATCTCCTTTTCGACTACCGCCGGTCCGATAGGGGCACTCCACAGCACAACTATGGTTTTCTCTACGATCGACTGTTTCTGAACGAGGAGCGTTGTTAAGGCTATAAGAAATCCATCTTCACATGCATCCTGGTCCCGTTTTGAAAGGGAAAAGGGGCGCGAGGATGCTTTTTTAAAATGGATTTATGGTAGGTCTAACGTTGTGATGTACAACTTGTGGGCGAAATTGGGGTGGGGCCGTTGCAGGATAGACCTTCAGTATATCAAATGCAGTCTGCCATTGCAACCTCTGCCGACGAAAAGGTCACTGCTTCTAGTACATTCTCTGCCGACGAAAACGCCTCTGCTTCGCAGACAGAGGCCACAGTTAAAAAGGTCTCTGCTTCTCAGAAAGCCGGAAAAAGCGGAGAGGTGTCTTCAGTTACGGACAGAAACACTCAGAAGACAACGCAGGATTAGGTGATAGAATGGGCGAAACCGGTATCGAAGATGGCGGGACACTCCCACGGAGCAGAGCCCGTCAACAAAAATGTCGTTGCGAGAGCTTGCGGAAGTAAAGGAGTGGCGCAGGTTTTACGCACCAGGAGGAGGATTGTTCGCCTGGGCCGACTTTTTTCCGCGTGCTCAAAAGCATGGGTTCGATATATCTGGGGATAGTGTGCGCTTGACAAACGCGGCCGCCGCTGCAGGAGGATCTGACGTTTCTAGATGACGGAGGGCAATGGCGCACAAACTGAGCTCTTTCAACAAGACCGAGATCGATCTCTTCGCCCATCGTACCTTGAGCCGACCTTTCGACATACTAATCGATGATGGCTTACTTACACGAATCCCTTGGAAACCGAGCGAATCTAGCGTATTGGTGGCGGTTCGTGCAGCCTGGCGGATGGTACTTGATAGAGGATTTTCCAGTCGCCATCGTGTCACCAACAACGACGTTTTGTCCCGCAGAGTCGCTACTTGTGTCTGACTTCGCTTTGGAGGAAGAGAAGGGGCTGACTGCATTGGTTTCATGACCTTCGGTAGAAGATGACAAAGACGAACTCTTGGACGAACAAGTAGGAGGCTTCGAGTCTGAAACTGGGCTCCTTATTGACACGAAGAGTCTACTTCCGACACGACACGAAGGCCAAGTGATATCCTCACCGCATTGGTCTTCACAGGAAGGAAATACTTCTTCGCAGTATGGTGTGGAAGGTACCCGGTTGGTTTGGAAGCATCAACCTGGACGTCTCGGGGGCGAGGTAAGCAAGGATATGGATGATGTTTATTCACCCAGCTTGAACAGACCTGCTGCGAACTTCACCGGACTCACCCAACGGGTTATATCCGGGATAAGTATGCGCAGACAGTACGACCGCCTCAAGCTCGTCCTTAACCTCAACCTCAGCTTCTGCGCCTTCTGCTTCTCCGTCGAAAGGAGATGTCTCTGCGACTCTGTCCTCTAAAGGAGGCGCAGCAGAAACAGAACACCAAAAGCTAGCTCAGTTCCAGCGGGAGTTCGCGAATCCTCTAGTGAGACTCCGAGACTGATTGCTAGAAACTTCTGTGATGGGCGTAGGGAAATCGAAAGAAGAAAACTAGAAGCAACACGCATGAAAACTAGAAAGCATTTGATGTACAACAAATGCATGAAAACTAGTCTCCTGTTGAGGACTACAAGAGCCTGTTCGTTGAGGACTTTTCCTCCTGATCCTAAGGGCTCCTCAGATTCTGTGTGGATTCCGACAGCCGAAGATTCTCAGATTCTGACATCGAATATTCTCCGATTATGGAGGGTGTACGGAATTCATCTCGTTCTAAGCCATCTGGAAGAAGAAAACTAGAAGCAAAAGATGAAGGCCGCATTCGCACTTTCTTGCAGCAGAGAGGGATACGGGACATCAAAAGTATCAGCATGCTGAAGACGCCAGCAGGAAAGTCGAAAGGTGCATGTCAGATAGTGTTCGCTGCGCAGGCAGAAATGACGATAGCCTTACTAGGGCTGAACGAAAGCCAAGAATTAGACATGGAAGGCGGGAGGAAGATCTACGTACATTATATCACTTTTTATGGGTGTACGGAATTCATCTCGTCCTAAGCCATCTGGAAGAAGAAAACTAGAAGCAAAACAGACGATTCCTGAGGTGAATTCCCTACACCTCTGTTCCTGAACCTGACTGAAGAGAAAGCCTCTCAGGCTCAAAAGACAAAAAATCAAAATCAGGGCATAGGCGATATGAGTCAGGTGATTCATCAACAGATGTATACTGATACCGAAGAAGATGCTTACTACCTGCTGCTTGACGACTTTGTCCCGATTGAGAACGCTATGGCTAGAAGTACCGCTGAAGCATCCTGCCTCCTACATCAACATGATCCTTGGCCTAAGGTTTCTTGATCCTTGGCCTAAGGTTTCTTGATCCGTGGCCTAAGGCTTCTTGATCCGTGGCCTAAGGTTTCTTGATCCTTGGCCTAAGGCTTCTTGATCCGTGGCCTAAGGCTTCTTGATCCTAAAGGAAGTGTCTTCCAAGGATATTGTTGCTCTCAAAGAGGAAGGTGCGAACGGTCCTGAAGTGCTCTAAGAACGGTCCTGAAGTAATGCAGCCGGAGAACGTGAAGGACGGGCATTTCTTAGGAGATCCCAAGCCGAAGCCGAAGCCGAAAATGGATCCCGGTTTCAATTTTGGAGAGAGTGAATTGGCGTATC